TGCTTAGGCCTGCGGTGGACTAAACAATTTTCCAAACTAATACCCCGCTGGGACCACACACATGCCCCACAAACATAAGAGTGGAAGGGAGAGTACGTACGTATATAGAAAGTGGAATGAATGAACCAAACAAAACGAAACGAGGCAAAAAAAAAACCAAAATCCCAAAAATCCCTTGATTTATTTCTAATACCCAAACACACCCAAGCATACACACACACAAATGCTGAAGGCAGAAATATCCTGGTAAATAGAGCAAGTGAAAAGTTCTACCCCAAAAAAAAAAAGAAAGAAAAAAGAAAGAAGAGAAATGCAACAACAACAAGAATAACTTTAGCATTTCCCTGAGGAACTAAATTGTGCCACCGGCGGTTTGTTTGCTTCCTTTCAACTCGGGCGGGTCCTCTCACTGTGATTCTGCAGCTCTGCCTACTCCAAAGGCCTCGAACCACTCAAGGATCTGTGGCAAAGAAGGCGGGCATGCAAAGTGAAGCTAAACGAAAGTGCCTCAATTTAAGTTGTAAGCTGATTTGCTAGACCGTAATATGGCCGCCCCTAACAAACTCAGACCATTCACAAAACCCATATGTATATACATATGTATACTTCTTTCCTGTGCACATATGTGCGTGGCTACGAGTATATGAGGCAGTCGCCATTGAAGTAGAAAAACTTTTTCGGTTGAAGCAGCAACAGAAAATTCTCAAAATTAAGGCAAAACTTTTTGGCAAGTATTCCCTTTTTTGTCGATGCCATTGGGCGGAGAGCATCATGCATTTGTAATGAAGTTGGATGAGTGCGCAAAATAAAGGGAATACATAAATATTATTTCAGATTGCCCACCTTACTGGGCAGCAAACAAAAGGATATACACTCGTTTGGGTTAAAAGGCTTTCTTGGACATTTCCATATTTTAAATGGAAGACTTTTTTGCATTTGCCTATACCCGTCTAAGCGATATTTACCTTATAAACGAAGATACATTTTCAGTGATCATAAATGAAAGAAATTTTCACAAAACGAAATGGCATTGTCATATCCCTGTCTCACTTCTTAAATATAATACAAAACTTAACAAACGATAGATGGGGGCCAACCTTAGCACACTCTATGAAGGGGATCAAGTATTCCCCACAATGCACACAGACTTCCTTTATTATAGACTCTAAACGAAAGGAGCAGAGTGAAGCCCGCTTGTCTTTGAGCGGGCTGTTTTGGTCTGATTTTGACACAAATCCCTTTGGTGCTAAAGCAATTTATGCGGTCTCAAAGCATGGCAAATGGTATGAGACTAACCACCAACTACTACTACGAGTATACTCCCCAACAAACACACTCAAGATGTGCGCTCTGAATGCGAGAATAGTTTTTCTGTATCCCAGAGAGTGAGAAAAGAGGGATTACCGGGAAGGAAAGGAAGGAAAGGAAAGGAAGGATGTTGTGGGTCTGGCTCTGATCAACCCACTTGCACTTGGCTGGGCTTTGGTTATGGTTAGATTGGTTGCTTCGTTGGATGCTGCATAAGTGCAATTTTATGTTTTGGCCCCGAAAAGTTCCTTCGCAGTAGTTGATAAATGGCTCACCGACGATGGTCGGCTCTCGACGGAAAAATATGTTATGGAAATCTGAAAGCCAAATCCCTTCCATTCCAAGCAACAAAGCATGAAAAAATGTAAATTTCTCTACATAAATCTAACAATTTTCAAACATATGTATGCATATGTGTACATATATGTGTATGTCAAATTTCTGAAATAACAGGGAAGGAAATGGGCAAACAAAACCACATGCCACGCCTAACAAGCCACCAATGCCGCCGCCGCCGCCGCCTACCTTTGTGAGTGGTACATGGCCGCAGATAAACCGCCCAAAAGTAATGCCAAAACATTTCGTGTCATAAATTTTACGACATAAGCGCGAAAAGCAAAAACAGCACAAAAGCCAACACCCTAAAAATGGAAGGACAAAGGAAATAGGAAATGTTAAGCGGCCAGGGGGCGAAGGCTTAATACCCTTAGAAGGCTATTTATAGAAAGTGTATAATGATATGCGATCTTGATCATTGAATTGAATATAAGATTGCCTACGCTAACCATAAACAGAACTCTTTAGCATAAGCAATATTTTCGACCTATTCTCTAAAATTTCCAATGATAAATTTATGTACAATATTTTCTTTATTACATATCTGAAAGCCCATCAAATGATATGCTATGATATCTATTGCTTTGACCATCATTAAGTTCCTTAACAGAATTATAGTACCCTTATCTGTAGAGCATAAAACACAAGCATTGTGCATTACAATAAATATTGATTTACAATTTTTTGCGCTTAGAACGTTAATTTATCGGAATTCAGAGGCGTCGCTACCAAACGGTGTACAAAAAGAGGATAAAAACATGTTGATTTTCGACAACCAAGTGCATTTTATTCTACACATACAAATATTAAGATAAGAAATTTAAAATGAAGTACTATACACTTATCTCTTTTATTACTACCCAAAAATTGAGACTTAAAATCAATATTTAATTCGATTTTAATAAAGTTCAAATTGGTCTTACTTAGGAAACAGATTCCTCACAAATTTGATTAAATTCCAATCGCATGTTATTAGCTGCCCCTCCCCGCCTAAGCATCTGATTACGAGAACCCCATAAAAGCCTCTCCACTAATATTTAGCTGTTTTGGATGGGGTCTGCAGAGCTATAAATTAATTTAAGTGCCTGAAAATATTTTTGATAACATAAAATCAAACCGAGCGGAGCGGAGCGAGAGATCCCTTTTTGCTGTGGGTTGTTCGTGCCGTTGCGGTTCAGGCCTGAAAATTTAAACGGCCGGCCATTAAGCGAACCAAGTTGGATGTAGTTTAATGGCTTTATTTCGGGGGGAATGGTTAGAACAGGGTTCAGACGGACATTTCCCAATATTCGGCCGCACTTTGGCCAATTCTATTTTTCTTATGCTTGAAGATTTAATTAAAAAAGTCGAGAGCATGCAAACGAAGTTTTTTAAAGGGCAAGGAAAGGAAAGGAAAATGCGGCTGGCATAAGCCAGAACTTTTTGAGGGCTGATGGCATACCCGCCACAAAGGATGCGCCAAAGGCAGTCAACAGTGACGGGGAAAGGCAAGCCAAACTTGGGAAAACTTATTCTTGGGAGCATCGTTATCATCGCCCATCATCAGGCTCGACAGATACAATAATAACAGCAACGGCAGCAGCAGCAGCAGAACCACACGCAAAGGCAAAGGCAGAGAGAAAAGATATGACAGCCACTCGCCGTCTTCGATTCCTTCGTTGGCAATACTTTTAAAGTAAATTGCGGCAAAAAGGAACGGGAACGGGGAGCAGGGGCAATACGGAAGCTTTCCCGCTCACGTTACGGCACTTTGCCTCCGCTCCACGCTTCGTTTGTTTCTGATTTTTCACTGCTCGTCATGGCCATGATGGTTCTTGCTTGGGAAATTAATTGCATGCAAATATTGACAGAGCGAAAGTAAATATAATTTCATTGTTTACTCATAAATACGCATTATTTGGAAAATGAAAATAGAAAAGCGCCATCCCTAAGGCTAAACGGAAAAATGGGAAAAAGAGAGAAAGGAAATTGGCAAAAAACTAATTGCTGCTAACCGAAGATATGAGTATACTTTTTTGTAAAGTACATAGAAGACTTTATTAATATACGAATTAGCAGCAGAGAATGAGAATCCCATAAAGCTGCCCTGTGGACTGGTGCCCTGGTGGGTGGCAAAGACTTATCTTAATGCTACTTTCAGTAATATTTAAAGCATTACCTCAACACACATTAAAGGGTATTCTTTGCACAGGTTTGGAATACAAAATCACAATTTTTTCCGGGGTGGATTTTCTGGGTGTGACTCTCTATCCAGGATAGATTCTGACAGACGCTCTAATCGGTTTAAACATTTGGTGAAAATGCTGCAGCCTAATTAGCATCATTATTTTTGATGGGGTCACGCAGGCAACAAAGAAATGCTACAGCCGGAAGGAGAACCCAAATCCCGGACCTAATAAATGGGCAAATGCTTTGCAAAGGTAATTAATGGGCAAGTGCAAGCAAGAAGGAGCTAGATTGCGATGAAGATGGGGCACTCAAGCGATAATTAATGTGCCTTCGAAGCACGAACATGAGTCTATGAGTGGCACTGTGTATTAGGTTATCGCCAGAGCTGATATAAAATTGAAGCCAATTAAATGTTACCAATCTGTGAAGCTGCCAAAAAGTGTTCCGAAACGGGTCAAGTCTGCCCAGATTTCATCTAAAACCTCGCCTCGACTCGTTTTGGCTCTTAGCTCTTGGCTTTCGAAACAAAACTTTCACGAACGAAAATAGCACTAAATTGCACACAAAAGAACTCTCAATGTTTAAGACCCTCGGGCCAGGGGGGCCAAAACAACAATTTACGCTTTCCAACTTGCTCGAGTATCGCGCTTAATCGTCAAAAACACTTCTTATCGAAGAGCATTTCCCACTCTCCCCAAAGCAAACTTTGCTCATAAATTATTACACAAAATTAGTTGCACACCAACAGAGGAAAAACACGATGGAAAAACGTGTGGATGAAGAGTAAAAAGGAGACAAACATCTCAAAGGACTTAAAAAAAATTTAAAGCTCAAGAAAGAAAATGAAATATGGCTGAGCCAAGACAAAAAGCTAAATAATCACAGACATGTACAATGTACATAGGATAATAAATGATTAACGTCCTGTCGAGACTCTGGGTGGGATTTGAGAGTGCGTTTGTATAAATGTTGGCATGGCATCTTCATCATCCGCTCAAACATTGGCGCGATTGTTGCTCAATGTTTTTAAATTGATATTGATGAGCCTAGCCCATTAGGCAGGCAAAACAAAATGCACCCTTCTGGGGTATAGAACTTTCAATTATAATTGATACAAAATTTACTCTAATTTCAAGCGCAAACTAAATAAAAGATACTTCATTACAAATAAATAACCCTAATCAAGTAGACTACACAAAAAACGTTTGAATGAGAACTAAATCATTATTCAAAAATCAAACACCAGAAAATATCAACCAGATAATATGGCAGCTCAGAAGAAGTTTTTAACAAGAGAGCGAATACCGTGGTACAACCAGAATGAAGGTGAAACTAAGGGCATTCATAGAACCACGTCGTCTGAGCTTTATCCACTCAGAACAAAAAACCAGAAGAGTCCTCGCATCAGCAAGCAGGTCACATTCAACAAGCAGTGGTCGGGATCCAATCTTAAGGAAGAAGCCAGGAAAAGCTGTCAGAGCCTTTCATCATGTCTGATCACGAGATCACCGTCGGATCCGCGTTTGAAAGGCGGTAGGTACAAAAACATACAAAAACATCCGAAAACCTTTAGCCTATATTAATTTTATTTTCTTGCAGGTGTCAACAACCCAGCCGAACGGTCTGCGGGTCGATTGCCGCGTACAGACAGTGAGTGCCAGTTCAAGGCACCGGGAATCGACTTTCTCACTGAACGGGATACTAATATAACCACCCACGAGGTCAGGTTGCAATCCTCGATCTATCCTCGCAAAGAAAAATTAGCGAACAAGTGTGACTTTTTTCCAAAATATGTGGACAACCGTCCATTCAAGGAGCAGGCAACCCAAACGCTCTATAGGTAACGTTCAATACCTAACGAAGACTTAGCTTTCCTCTAAGTAAAACGAATATTCTCTCTGATTCCCAGGGAATCATCGGCACAAACTTTGGCCTATTTGCCAGAGATCGAGGACAAGGAAATAGATGAGCATGTAGAGCTTTTCAAACTACCCTCTGCGCTTCCTGGCGATAGGCCGCCAGGGCTCTATGAGGTCGAAGTCTTAGAACGATCCCGCAGACGTTGGGCCTTTAATGATGCAATGAATGTGAATTTAAACAAGCAATTGCATGAGGCTCGAGAGTTGGCAATGCAAACGAAGTATAAGTCCATACTGGAGGCATTCGAATGGGAGAGTTGGATCGAGCGAGAGGAGTACATACAGGAGTGTCAGAAGATGCGACTCGAGATCGTCATAAAGATGTTCGACAAGCGCGAGAAGGAGATGCATTTAGCCTCCAAGAAACGCATTGAAATGTCCTGCGAACGCATCGAGAAGCGCCGTCAAGAGGGTCTGCACAAGAACGAGATAGAGTATCAGCGCGGCAAACGCCGCAACGATATAAAGCTCGCAAAGACGTCAGGGAAATGGCAAAAGCAGAGCCCTTTGTATGCCCTGGGATCACCGTGCTCCGAGTTCTATGGACCACTCATCAGACACGGTGTTGATCCGGCACGTCGAAGCTTTGCAGGTAATAACCGCAAGGCCTTCGATGTAAGGATGGACGAGCTGGAGAAGCGCGTGAATATGAACAACGTGACGTGTCCTTTCAGAAAGCTCAACGAATGGTCCAAGCCCAAAGAGTATTTCAAGGAGTACGAGCAGAACTTCTGCAATGATAAAAAATTGCAAAGGCTCTACGAATCCTTGAAAGGCTTGAGAACGCTGTCATGCGAGCACAAAAATCCTCCTAAGTGTCTGAAGGTACGGCATAAGCCCTGCGTTTATTCAGAGAGTGTGCGCATGAGCTCTGTTTTTGCTGGTGCGACCACTAAGCATTACACTCCTGAAAAACCGGAACAGAAACAGCAGAAACCGGAACCGGAGTACACATATGAATCCGATCGATCGAGCGCATTCGCCAAGCGTTTACAGGACGACAGGAGGCAAGTGGATTTGGAGTATCTTTTGCAAACGTACGAAGGCACCAACATTGGTTGGCTTATGCAGTTCCTCTCTGAGGAAATGGGCCGGCTGAAGGAACAGCGAAGGCTCCACTACTTTACTATTTTGGCCCAAAAGGAGAGATGGCGACGCGAAGCGACTGAAGCAGGACTACGGCAAAAGGAGAACGAAATGAGAAAGCTCTACGAAGAGTTTTTCCAGAAGAGCAACTTTGCCAACAATCATGTTAGCAATGAGTATATCAATACGATTGTTAAAACAGATATGACCCACATAGCAGGCCAAGAGGCCGCCAGAACGGTGACGGGGCTTGCAAAAGTGATTGATGCCGATATCGAGCGTTGGCTGGAGAGCTTCAAGCTCATCCAGACGCCCCTCACCTATGAACCACTGCGACTGATGCTGCGAGACATGGTCTCCCCAGACATGAATTTGAATGCTGTTCTCGATCGTCACGAGAAGTCGCTCATCGCCAGTTATATTGTGGAGGACGTGATATTTGGCAGAGTGTGGCAAGAGCTGGAGCCATTCGACATAGCCAGCACTCTGACCAGCGACTTCATTGATCGCCTCATCGACAACGATCTCTATTTGTTCTCGACGGACAGCGAGAGCGAAACGCCTCAGAAGTCATCGTGGTACGAGTCTCAAGCCATAATACGCAAACTCATCCGCCAGGCTGTGCCCGGACAGCGCTGGAAGGATGAAACCGAACGCATTGTGCACGAGAACTATAATAGTCTGTTTGATGATGTCTTCGCTGAAATCATGAACAAAATCGATTATCCTCCATCAGTGCAATCTTACGAGTTAATCCAAGTGCGTCCAACGCAATCGCACGCTGCCATCAAAATAACGGATAACATTCGAGCTATGGAGATTTTGGAGTTCCAGGCCATGAGAGATCAAGTCGCTACGACCAGTTCGGAAGAGCTTAAAACAACAATACTGTCGCTATTCAGAAAAATGAGAGCAGATAATATTACCAAAAAATTGGAAACCGATGAAACATTTTGGGAAGATGCCAGCATTAATTTGGAAAAGGACGATGCATTGATCAAAACGCAGAGCTACGGAACTCAAGAGTCTGTGCACCAATTAGATTCTGACTTGTTCAGCATAATGGGAATTCTTGATATTTGTAGTGAGAAAAACCTAAAGGCGTTGAAGGGTACCGGACATACTAAAGTGGAATACAAAGTGAATGAATATTATCTTCCATGGGGAATCGCCGACCACGAACAAGAGCATATTGAGAAAGATGAGATGGAGATGGAGATGGAAATGGAAATGGAAATGAAAGGTGAGATAGATATAGAGACTGATTCGCAAATAGAGTTGCCAATAGGGGTGGAAATGGAGTTTGAGCTGGAGGAGGAAATGGCGATACAGACGCAGGAGGAAATAGAGATGGGTACAGAGGAAGAGATGAAGATGGAGGCAAAGATAGATGTGGAGATAGTGGAGATAGATATGGAGGAGCAGAAAATTCCAGATACTAGCCAGACTGAAAACGCCTCCGAAGATGCTGAAGAAAACGATGAAATATTGCCACCAGATAAGATGGAAATCTCCCAGGACTTGGATCAGAGTATCAACGAAGAAGATGAAAAAGAAGATGAAAGAGATACGTTGTCTCTGCCCAATAGTATTTCGAAAAGGAACAGCTCTGAAATAATTCCATTAGTTGGTTAAATTTAATTCACATTTTAACATAGTTACAGTTCGAATAAATATTTATTTTTCTACCAATTGATACACACAACAAATTAACGAGGTGATCTATTGACTTACGAGGGTTCAGGGGGCTAAAATATTTCGTAAATATTTCGAGCACTTTTTCGAACCACAAGCTAAAATAAAATGTGAGTTCAACTGGGCTCTTTCTATTCCTCTAATCGATCCTAAGGGAGAAGTACCATGCAGACAGACCATAGAAATGATTTTTCCTTTTTGCACATTCCCAAAACGGGGGCCACTTCCCACTTCCTGGCAGCACAGCGGTTGCCAGGTAACTACTGACTTACTTACTAGCCAAATGACTTACTTACATTCGAGTACTCGATGCAGAAAGTCGGTAGAACAACTGCCAGGAGTATTTTACCCAGCATGCCACTTGAAAAACATAAAACTCAATCACGAATCAGACATCAAATAATAAATACAACAAACCACAAAACATCTGAACATTTACGATATATTTCGCGTTACAATAGACAATAGGTTACTCGGTAATTAGGGAATTAAACAGTAAAATGCCAGCACAGGAAAGGCCACCCTCAAGGGAGCTTCGAGGGCTTCGGGTGCTGCTTGACAATCGCCAGACCGTACCAACACGTTCCGCAATGGGACAACAATTTCCCATTCGTCAAAAGGAACAATTTTCAAGTCACATCAAACGGGTCGCATTCGGTAAACAAAAAAGCAATGGAGATAATGGACCACCATCAAAGGCCAAAAGAGATATCATTCAAGCTGGACAGGGCCTCACCTCATGCCTGATCACGAGATCACCAATGGACCAACGATTACCAGCCGGTGGGAACATGTTAGATCAACATTTTCTTCATTCATTTATTCATCATCCTTTAATGTGTAGGTGCCAACAACCCAGCCGAGCGGTCGGTGGGAAGATTGCCGCGTACAGACAGTGAGTGCCAGTTCAAGGCCCCGGGAATCGATTTTCTAACAGAACGGGATACTAATATCACAACCCATGAGGTCAAGATGCGTCCCTCTGTGACTTCAATTAAGAATAATTCCAATAAGTGCGATTTCTTCCCGAAATATGTGGACAAGCGACCATTCAAGGAGCAGGGCACACAAACGCTCTATAGGTAAGAGCCAGAGGAAACCCTATAACATATTTCTAGATGATAACATTATAGTGTCTGCTTCACAGGGAATCCTCGGCACAAACTTTGGCCTATTTGCCAGAGATCATGGACAAAGAGATGAACGAGCATCTAGAGCTGTTTACCCTGCCGTCTTTGCTGCCTGGAGATAATCCACCGGGACTCCATGAGGTCGAGATCCTAGAGCGGGCCCGAAGGCGTTGGGCCTTCAATAAGGCGGTGAAAACGAACTTTATGAGACAATTGCACGAAGCGCGGGAGTTGACAATGCAAACCAAATACAAATCCATACTGGAGGCATTCGAATGGGAGGGTTGGATCGAGCGAGAGGAGTACATACAGGAGTGTCAGATGATGCGACTCGAGATCGTCATAAAGATGTTTGACAAGCGCGAGATGGAGATGCACTTAGCATCCAAGAAACGCATTGAAATGTCCTGCGAACGCATCGAGAAGCGCCGTCAAGAGGGTCTGCACAAGAACGAGATAGAGTATCAGCGCGGCAAACGCCGCAACGATATACAGCTCGCAAAGACGTCACGGAAATGGCAAAAGCAGAGCCCTTTGTATGCCCTGGGATCACCGTGCTCCGAGTTCTATGGACCACTCATCAGACACGGTGTTGATCCGGCACGTCGAAGCTTTGCAGGTAATAACCGCAAGGCCTTCGATGTAAGGATGGACGAGCTGCAGAAGCGCGTGAATATGAACAACCTGACTTGTCCGTTCAAAAAGCTCGAGGAATGGTCCAAGCCCAAAGAGTATGTTAAGGAGTACGAGCAGAACTTCTGCAATGATCTTAAATTGCAAAAACTCTACGAATCCTTGAAAGGCTTGAGAACGCAAACGACTAAGGAATGGGCTGAGCCGAAGTGTCTTAAGAAAAGAAAGAAATTAACCTCGGAATATGATAAATACGAGAAATATAAGAGTCGAGGTCAAATACATTACTATCAGGCAGCGCCAAAACCGATCGAACTGTCCAAGCCGACAGAGACGCGCACGAACGCACTTCGGCCACCAACAAGAATGGGCTCATTCCACGCAAAGCACTTGGAGGCTCAAAGAGGAGAAGAAGCTTTTGAGAATTTGCTGACCACGTACGAAGGTACCTATGTTGGGTGGATCATGAAGTTCCTCTCTGAGGAAATGAGCCGACTGAAGGAACATCGAAGGCTCCACTTCTTTACTGTTTTGGCCCAAAAGGAGAGATGGCGACGCGAAGCGAATGAAGCAGGATTGCGGCAAAAGGAGAACGAAATGAGAAGCCTCTACGAAGAGTTGTTCCAGAAGAGTATTGGGGCCCACAACGAGATTAGCAATGAATATCTCAGCGCACTTTTAACAACAGATATGAGCCACATAGCTGAGAGCGAGGCCGCTATAACGGTGACCGGGCAGGCCAAGCAAATCGATGCAGATATCCAGAGATGGCTGGAGGGCTTCAAGCTCATCCAGACCCCACTCACCTATGATCCTCTGCGACTGATGCTGCGAGACATGGTCTCCCCAGACATTAATGCTGCTATCGATCTTCATGAGAAGTCGCTCATCGCCAGTTATATTGTGGAGGAAGTTATTTTTGGCAGAGTGTGGGAAGAGCTTGAACCAATCGATATAGCCGGTACCCTGACTAGCGATTTGATTGATCGCCTCATCGACAACGATCTCTATTTGTTCTCCACGGACAGCGAGAGCGAAACTCCTCAGAGGTCATCGTGGTACGAGTCTCAAGCCATAATACGCAAACTCATCCGCCAGGCTGTGCCCGGACAGCGCTGGAAGGATGAAACCGAACGCATTGTGCACGAGAACTATAATAGTCTGTTTGATGATGTCTTCGCTGAAATCATGAACAAAATCGATAATCCTCCATCGGTGAAATCCTTCGACCTAATCGCTGTGCGTGCATTTCAATCTCAGCGTCGCATTTCAAAGACTGACAATTTTCGCTCCTTAGATATTGAAGTCCTCCCAATGATCCAAAGCTCATTGCCCAACTCAGAATTCGAGCGCCTTCAAATTCTATCGCTACAAAAAAGGTTAAAAAAGGACAATGTTACAGCTGGTTTGAAGGCCTTCGATAAGTACCAGGAATATGACAATTCACGTGAAGAATTTGATACATTTATGAAATCAGAGGTGTTTGAACAGTTTAACACCATGGAATACGCACAAGTAAACCTACCAGAGGACGTATTCAGCATCACTGGCGTGATAAATCTAGACGACGAGAAAGACTTTAAGATGCTTAAGCATGAAAAAGAAGTAGAAGAGGTTAATATACCATCGGCCAATGAGTTTATAGACCCTGGCAGTCTCCATGAGGAGGCGGTCTTTGAGGGGGAAGAAGGTGCCAATGCTGAAGAGGAGGATAAGACTGAGTTGAGAGCTGATGAGACACCGGATGATCTCAGTCTGCCTCTTACCTCTCATGAAGGCAACGAAAATGTAGAAGAAGTGGAAGAAGAATATTTTTCCGAGGAACAAAGCCAGTCAGTAAACGCCGAGACCTACAGGACGAATTCTCAAGTATTTAAGTTCAGATGATTTTTAAATTTCTTGACAGTTATAATGAATTTCAATGAAAATGTTAATTTAGCTTTAATTCCTTACATCAGCCGTTGTTGGAATGGAAAGTTAGAGTAGTAAAAACAAAAAAAAAAACTTTACATCAAAAAATAAGTAAAAAAATTTACAAATAAAATAAAATAATTTCAAAATGTAAATGGTAATTTCGCTTAAATTCCTTACATCTTCCGTAGTTGTTAAGAAAACTAAGAGTCGTGAGTAAAACACTTTATATTTACAAAAAAGTAAAAAACAAAGTATAAATAAAATAAAATATCTTAAAAATTTTAATTTTTAATTAGCTTTAGTGCCTTTAATTTAAAAAAAATTTAAAAAAATTTAAAATAATAAATAAAATAATAAAAATATAAATAAATTTTTAATTTTAAGGCTATACATCTGATGTAATGGAAAGTTAGAGTAGTAAAAACAAAAACAAAAACTTTACATTAAAAATAAGTAAAAAAAAAAACTTTACAAATAAAATAAAATAATTTAAAATTTAAATGTATTCTAAAAATAAATTCCAAAAATTTGTAATTCTTTTCATCTGATATAGATGTAATAGAAAGTTAGAGAAGTAAAAAATACTTTATAAAAAAAAAACAGTAAAAACTAAATAACATAATTAAAAAACCAATATGAATTGAGTGCTCGTACCTTATAGTGGATTAATCAAATAATTTGTGTATCGAAAGACTCCTTAATTGAAATGTACCACAACAAATACCCAACTGAGAAATTTCACATTAAATATATTAACTTAACACTTGACTTTAACTTTTATTGGAACATCCGAAAGAAGTTTCTAGGATAGGAATATAGAAAATATAATTTAATAATAATTAAATGGATCTGCACTATTAGAAACTCAGCTGACACAGCAGCGCTGTGCCACGGTTAATCCAGTGTGACACAGGGGTCTTTGGATTGCAGAGCAGTAACATGGCCACCACAAAGTTGGTACTGTGGCCCGTGGTGGACAGGACACCGCGTCGCTCGGCTGTCTTGTAGAGCGGACACAGATAGTTGTGACGCTCGGGGAGATCGGTGCGCTTGAGAGGCTTCAGCCATATCAAGGGCATGCCGTCAAACAGTTCCCTTGGACGCGCTTCGGCCAAATATTTGGCCGTGCGATCCCAACGGGCACCCTCCAGGTAAATGCCATACACAAAGACTCCATCGGCGGGTGCAGTGATACCCTTGATTTCGTTCTCCTCCAGCGAGAGCACCTCGTAGTCGAAGGCAAGCAGATCTATGGAAATGACATACTTTCGTGCATAGTTCTGCTGGGCGCCAGTGAGGAAGGCCTGTGTGAAGAAGAATCCCGACAGCCAGAAGGTGGAGGGAGCGCCATGGTCGTACCAGTGCTGAAATGTATGGAACACATTCGTTTATTACCAGCTATCCGTACCAGGGCACCTCTTATCGATTGGCCCAGCAAACAAACGTCGGCTCCCTAGCAGCGGCTCCGTTGCTATATTGCAAAATCGCTTCGCTTACCTGCAGGAATTCCAGGCGATGCAGAAAGTCGCTTACATAGCTGCCGAGTGGCTTTAGGCTGGGATACGATTTGCCAGCCCACATTGCTGGTATCTTTGCTATCAGTACGGACTTGTAGACAGCTTCCACAGCGGCAGACATCACCACCAAACCTGTATGGAATATGGAAGAGCATCAGTCAAGTTAACATACTCGTAGTAGGCTGTTCAAGGAACAAAATGCCAAATGCAAAATTGAAAATTAAATTAGTATAAACCAACACGTCAATCCACAAACACTTAAACAATACACTATAAGATAATCGCGGCAACAATACAAAGATAGATTAGCTGGTAAGTTCACCCAAAATGCCAGCACACGAAAGGAAAGTGAAAAAGGCCCAGAAACCATTGGGCCTCCGCGAGGAAAACGAGAAACGAAACCACAAATCAAATGTGGAGGATTACACATTTTCACCTGTACACCGAAAGAAGCCGTCGCCAGGTCAGACCAAACGGGTCACATTCAGCAAGCAGAGATCCCAGGGAGAGTCACCGCAGCTACCCAAAGATGCCTGTCTGCAGGGGCTGACATCTTGTTTGATCACAAAGTCCACACTGGATCGTCGACTAGCGGCCGGTAAGTGTGACAGCGGAGCCCGAATTATTTTCTTTTGATCACTTTATTGATCACTTTGATCACTTTGATCTTTATTCCACTGTAGGTGCCAACAACCCGGGCGAGCGGTCTGCGGGTCGCTTGCCGCGTACAGACAGTGAGTGCCAGTTCAAGGCACCGGGAATTGATTTTCTAACAGAACGGGATACTAGTATCACAACCCATGAGGTCAAGATGCGTCCCTCTGTGACTTCAATTAAGAATAATTCCAATAAGTGCGATTTCTTTCCGAAATATGTGGACAAGCGACCATTCAAGGAGCAGGGCACACAAACGCTCTATAGGTAAGAGCCAGAGGAAACCCTATAACATATTTCTAGATGATAACATTATAGTGTCTGCTTCACAGGGAATCCTCGGCACAAACGGTGGCCTATTTGCCAGAGATCATGAACAAAGAGATGAACGAGCATCTAGAGCTGTTTACCCTGCCGTCTTTGCTGCCTGGAGATAAGCCACCGGGACTCCATGAGGTCGAGATCCTAGAGCGGGCCCGCAAGCGTTGGGCCTTCAATAAGGCGGTGAAAACGAACTTTATGAGACAATTGCGTGAGGCGCGGGAGTTGACAATGCAAACCAAATACAGATCCATACTGGAGGCATTCGAATGGGAGAGTTGGATCGAGCGAGAGGAGTACATACAGGAGTGTCAGATGATGCGACTCGAGATCGTCATAAAGATGTTTGACAAGCGCGAGAAGGAGATGCATACAGCATCCAAGACGCGCATTGAAATGGCTTGTGAACGAATCGAGAAGCGCCGTCAAGGGGGTCTGCACAAGAACGAGATAGAGTATCAGCGTGGCAAGCGTCGCCTCGAAAGCCAGCGTAACCCCACGTCCCGAAAGTGGAAGAAGCAGAGTCCCATGTATGCCCTGGGATCCCCGTGCTCCGAGTTCTATGGACCACTCATCCGACACGGTGTTGATCCGGCACGTCGCAGCTTTGTGGGCACTAACCGCAAAGCCTTCGACATGCGGATTGACGAACTGGAGAAGCGAGTGAGCATGCAGAAGCTGGAGTGTCCGTTCAGAAAGCTCAAGGAGTGGTCAAAGCCAAAGCAGATTATCAAGGAGCACGAACAGAACTTCTGCTCTGATAAAAACTTGCAGAAGCTCTACGACTCGCTGAAGGGCTTGAGAACGCTGGCGAATAAGGAGAAGTCACAACCGAAATGTCTCAAGAAACGGCCGACACCATCTGTGGACACAGAGTCCATTATAAAACAAGACTTCGAATACGAATATCCCCATGCCACATACGGCATAATGCGAACCGCCAAGCAGGAGACCTCAGATATCACAGCCACATACGAATCTTCTCCCTTCAAAGACAATCCTCCAGATGCAGTGGGCTCAGTGTTCAGCAAGCGAATGCGAGATGAGAGAAGCAGTGAGGAACTAGAGAAGCTATTGCACACGTACGAGGGCACCCACATTGGCTGGGTCATGCAGTTCCTGTCGGAAGAGGCGGGACGACTGAAGGAGTTGCGCAAGCTCCACCTATTGTCCATGTTGCTGCAGAAGGAGCGCTGGAGACGCGAGGCGGGCGAGGCAGGATTACGCCAGAAGGAGAACGAAATGCGAAGGCTCTACGAAGAGTTGTTCCAGAAGTGCAATGTGGCCAACAGACAAATTGGCGATAAGTATCTCGATACCATTCTGACAACAGATATCAGCCACATAGCTGCCAACGACGCTGCTGAAACCGTCACCGATCTGGCGAAAGTGATTGATGCCGATATCGAGCGTTGGCTGGAGAGCTTCAAGCTCATCCAGACGCCCCTCACCTATGAACCACTGCGACTGATGCTGCGCGACATGGTCTCCCCAGACATGAATGCTGCCCTCGATCGTCACGAGAAGTCGCTCATCGCCAATTATATTGTGGAGGACGTGATATTTGGCAGAGTGTGGCAAGAGCTGGAGCCATTCGACATAGCCAGCACTCTGACTAGCGACTTCATTGATCGCCTCATCGACAACGATCTCTATTTGTTCTCGACGGACAGCGAGAGCGAAACACCTCAGAAGTCATCGTGGTACGAGTCTCAAGCCATAATACGCAAACTCATCCGCCATGCTGTGCCCGGACAGCGCTGGAAGGATGAAACCGAACGCATTGTGCACGAGAACCAAAACGATCTATTCGATGATCTCTTCGCTGATATCATGAACAAGATCGAGAATCCACTACCCGTTTTCCCCTCTGATTTGATCGATCTACGTCGCACCATATCCAACCGTAAAATCAGCTTAACGGACAACATTCGTGGGCTGGAAAAAATAGACTACAAGGCAATCAGAGAACAGCCGTCACTGCCGGACACAGAACTGCTCCGCATTCAGTTGCTGAACTTGTTTAAGCGAATGACGGCGGACAAGATCACCAGGGAACTGTCAAACGTTGACATATACCATGGAGATGACCACTATTCTGAACATCGGGATGTACATATAGAAACGCAGCATTTCCAACACCGTGTCATGAAATCAAGTGAAGTTTACGATGACCAAAAATCGATTGAAGCTGAGGCTGAGCTTGAAGAAGAGGCTGAAGAGGAAGCTGAAGAGGAAGCTGAAGGAGGGATTGGCATAGAGTTTGAAGCCAAAGTTGGGCCCTATTATATGTCTGAGGCTGATGATGAGTTTGAAAATGACAATCATGAATACGAGACGGACATTTCGTCGCATCGAGTCTACTCAGAGGAGGAGGAGGAAGTAGAAGAAGAATATGTACCTCCCAAAGAAGAGCTTAAAACCAAGAAAATGAAGTCCCAGGTAACAATTGTTACCCAAGAGGAAGATATCGAGAATGTCGACAAATCACCGATACAACTACTTAATCCGGAAGAGGGCGAGGCCGACCTTAAGGCCGGTGGGTCTGTCTTCAAAACCAGTTTCACCTCGACGGCAAGCCATGTGGCGAGTGAATACAATTTGATCAAAGCCATAGAACCCCAAACTTCAGATGAGCAACTCAACAAAAAGTCAAGCACCTCCCAGGCGGTGGGAAAAGTTGCCTCAGATACAGGATCACAACGATCTCAACGTAAATAAGGTGCGAAGGTTTTCTGATTCGCGTGTTTAAAATATTGCAAAATAAATATTGGAATTTCAACAAACAGTAAAACTCACCCTTGATTCCCTTTCGCAGCGTAATCAAACTCGTGCGGATGGTGTTCAGCAGGACATTGAAGCGCACCATTTCCTGCACCAGCACAGTGTTCATGCTCTGATGGTATATCGTGGGATACTTGAGCAGGGCCGTATCTCGATCGAAGAGCTTGGGTAATTTTTCTAGAATATCGGTGGCCACATTGGTCACCACCTCCTCGGGTGTGAGTGTCTTGGAGTCTTCGCTGTCATCGTGCGAGGCACTCGTATCCTTCAGTGGCAATGGGTACAGGGCAAGGAAGGGGGGACTTGTGGGATAAGTGGGTAGGGACAGGTTCTCGGGAAAGCGTCTACTAAGCACTTCTACATAGACCTTTTGTGTTTTCTCCAGTTTCTAAAATGCGGCATGGCCATGGCATGTTGGCGGAATAAGCAAAAACAATTCTGTAAAGAAGAAAGCTCCTAACAAGCATTAGCTGGGCACTTACACGTCTCTCATAGAGGTCCTGTTTTGCAATGTGGGGCAATTAAAGCGTTAAATTTATTACATTTTATGCTAAGAGTATTACTGGGAAGAACCTTACCCAACGATCCTTTTATGGTAAGCAAGAATGTGTATAGAAAAAGCAATTTAAGAGCATAATAAATGAGAGACTATCGGAATTATCCAAGCATTAATTTTTGGTGTATGAGTTTCCGGTACATAAACTATGCATGAGCAAGATGGAGCAAGACACTTACCTGTGTCAGCAGAGTGTGCGAGAGCAACATGTCCGTCTCCTTCTGATCCCGCATAATATCCGCATTGGCATGGAAGCCAAAGATGGCCGGTGTCGAGATCTGTGGCAGCTCTCGCGTATAGTTCATGTACATCTCGACTTCCTTGAACACGGGAATATAGTACAGCTCCGATTCGTCCAGAAAGTATGGCTTCTCCAGGTCAATCACCGCGGGGCAGTAGTACAGATCCAGTATGGTCTTGAGCGTGCGACGATCCCAGTCGTCGGTGACACGACCGCCATAGTTACACTCGCCCGTCAGGTAGCGCAGAGCATCGTAGTTAACCGTTTCGTACTGGTTGAGGAACATGCGCAGCTGCATGAGGGATATGCGCAGATCGGTCTCGTTGAACTCGTAGGGTATGTTCCAGCCGATCGGACCGAAGGTGCGCCGCTCCTGGATGACGGCATGGAAAAAGCAGAGCGAGTAGATGAGCTGCTTGAAGATGCGCGGCTGGGTGCAGGACTCGTACCACTCCGGGTCACTGATCGGATCGCTCAACATCGAACGGAGAACGTTGGAGCGCAGACCCTTGGGCGGTTCGTTGGTCATTTTGATGCCATTCTGCAGCACCACCACCGGGAAATGATCGGCTGGGTATGAGGTAAGCCACAGGCGGAAGTCCGGATGCGTCGAGTCTGGCAGCAAATTCTCGCAGATCTTTTCCAGCAGTGGCATAAAACTGGCTGCCAAATGGCAGTTCTGCAGCACCACCCAATTGCCCATTTTAACGCCCTCATCGATCATCTTCATGGCAATGGGTCCCTGGCCCTGGCCCAGCGACAGCGAGAACAGACGGTTGGTGCCGAAGCCCTGATCCTCGGCAAACTTCAGCAGCGTGGCCGTGGGATCGGAGCCAGGCGTTAGTATGAATATCAGGGGTACACAGCAGTGCGAGTCACCGAAGGAGGCCATCAAATCGAATTGCGGCGGGTCGACAAACTTGGGACCCAGCTCGCCGGACACAAAGTTAAGTACGGCCGGCACCAGTTTATCCGGCCGAAAGACCCGCAGCAGCAACAGCTTCTGAAAGACGGAGATGCGCTTGCTCCAGGCAGCGGGTATGTCCTTATTGTCCTGCGGCGCTTTCGAATCGAAATACAATTTCCAACTGTTCGGATTCGCAACAAAATCCTCACGTAAGCCCTTAAAGTTGGGCAAATTGGTCAGCCGACAGACCTCATCCCAGTTCTGTACGCCCAGCCAGGGGGTGGGATTCTTGTGCGGATTCTCCAGACCGATGCCGCCAGTCAGCAGGAACATCCATTCGGCATTGTCAATCAGGTTATCGTGCTTCATCATGTTGATGTTCAATATGAGCGAGAACAGCAGCTTATCCTGTGCGAAAGGCCAAAAACATTTCATTAGGAACGAAAACGAAAACTCAAGTCAGGGCCAACGATGGGAATGTGTGATTGGGTTCGTTCAGGGTCATCATTTTGGGTGAGTCTCGCTCTCGCATTAAATGGGTTACACAGCGAGACCCAAAAGGTTGCCCTCTGAAATCAAAGCATTTTCCGCAGCAAACCAAGCGGCGATGCCGCTTCTCTGATAGCAATTCCCTGTTTTTCCTGCTCCTCTTTTTTTTTTTGCAAGGGAAAATTAAAAGGCCGGGATCAAAGGTTAGCTTGTGGAAGCCCAGGGAAAGTACAGGGCATGGCATAATTGACTGAAAACAGCATAAAGCTAGCTGGAACTTGTTTGGATTATTATTTCATTTTTTTTTTTCTCTTTCCTTTCTTCCAGCAGTTTCCTTTGGCAACGTACATCCTTTGATTGCAGGCAGCAACGTAATAATGTTATTCGAGCAGCTCAAAAGTTGCACAGTGGGCAAGGTAAAGGTAAAGGTGGTCTTTGGCTATTTGAATCACAAATTAGTTTCAAAAAGTATGTGAAAAAATGGAAAGGGAAATGTAATTTCATCAAAATTATAGTAAAGAGAAAATAGGAGATAACAGCACCTAAGGAGAATTTTTGGGACACAAATTGGATTAATCAGGAGAGGCACCACACACAGAAACAAGTCACTGTACATAGAAAAAATGCAACTCAAAGGGTAGAAAAAACCATGTTAACAACAATCTACAATTTGTGTCCTTCAATCAGACTTTAACATCCACTGTAACAGCAGCTGCAGCAGCCACTGCAAGGCTGCCCTTCATTGTCAGTTGAAGTGGCATTCAAGTACGGTGTACTTGGGTAGTAAAAGTACTTAAATATTATTTAAAACCAAGTCAAGTCAAGTTAAGTCAAGTAGAGCACGAAGCTCAGCCACAAAGCAAATGATACGCAACGGAATACGCCTCAAATGTCACATTATTAGATTATGCGCAATTACGGGGCTAACGAGGCTAAAGGGTACGGGTACGGGTGCGGGTACGAATACCGGCCAACCAACCAACCAACGAATGGACAGGCAAAAGCTTGACGATAATTGGCATTAGCCAATGGGCACTCACACGCTCGAACAGACTGCGACAGATGTTGACATACAGGCTGTAGGTGAAATGATTCCGCAAGTCCTGCAGCCGGGCAGCGATGTCGTCCACCTTCTCCGTGTTATCGATGGAGGCCATGTACAGGTTGACAAACCAAACCAAACTGTACTGATACATGGGATCAATGTTGGCCAATTCCACTGAAATAAAAGAATACAAAATAAAAGATATACTGGATATTCTATATGTATATATGGATTACCTATTGTAAAGAATAAGATTGTGGAGTGCTCGGCTATTGGCACATAACTCAATCGGGCGATATCAATTTGCTTTTCGGTGGCCTCCGTAATAATTTGCTTCTCACTGATGTCATTGGCCAGGGCCTTGGCCGAACTCAATATCTGTACGGCCGTCTCATCTTCCAGGATATTTTCAGCAGATGAAAGCACTTCCAGGATCTGGTCTTCAGTCTCCTTTAACATGCGCTTGTTCTCAGCTCCCTGAACAATTAAATTGTTCTTCTCCGCCTCCAAGTCGGGACGCTCTCGGGCCACCGTAATGCCCAGCAATTGATCCTGCAATCCCTGTGTGGTAATCATGAAATTAAGTAGCGTTACCTTAACAGCCACCTCGGGTAGATAATGCGGATTTCGCAGCTTTGTTGTCATATAGAATCTGTAAAAAACAAACATTTAAATCTTCAGTAAAAGAAGCAGCTAATTTAACTCCTTTGCTCTACCTAAAACTATGATTATATTCAATCACAGAGTCGCCCAACTTAATGCAGAGTGTACCACCCTGCTTGAAGAGCTGCTTCAGCAACACCGACTCCAAAATGGGATCCAACTCCTCGCCAATATTCTCCAGCAGCACCGGCAGACCAAATTGTATGGCATTCTCCATGACGCGCGTGTAGTCGGGCTGATTGAGACGTATCACACAGAGTTTATTGTTCTTCTCATAGTTCTTAATCCATTTGTTCGCCTGTCCCTGGGGATCAATCATCAGTGGCCAGCGGCGTGCATTCCTGCAAATGAATGAGCATAATCTTGTATCTAAACACGCACTTTAAATGATATTACAAATGCAGGCAATTTGTCAACATGCACACAGCATGGACGAGCTCCGACGAGCCCATCATTTTGTTTGGAAGTTGGAATATTAAAAAAGAAAATACATTCCGCATAAAAATACACATTCAATATTTACGTCAATAATTCATAAGCGTAAATAATTCTATAGAAGTGTTTTTGCTTGCATTATGTGGGGGATGTTCATGTGTACATATGTATGTATGCATGTATGTATGGGGGGTCTGTTGTGTGGGTTTTGTGGGTTTTGCAATGAGAGCAAACCTCTGGCTTCAAATATGCCAATACATCATGCAAACGCAAACGTTAAGCCACAGACAGAACTATATTACAAAGAGGCGCGTAGTCGGTTATTGTCATCCAAGGGGGGGTTTTAGAAAGTTTCATAGAGTGATATTTCATATTCTTATTAATTCTAAAAGGAAACGTTCTTTGAATTATGTGCAGAAATTTCCGATCTCATTGGAATTTTGTGGTATACTTTATACTGTCTACTTTTAGACTGACTTTTTCTGCAGGCACGACTATGTGTTGGTCTATTATAACGACCATTAAGATATGCTGTAGAAAATTTATATGTGAATAATTATATGCCTAATTATATGAATAATAAATAAATTATTTAATCTCTTACAAAATCAAATACATTTTGATGTTAGTTTTGTCTTGTTTTTAAAATCATGTGGAGATTTACTCTCTTTCTCCCTTTTTTTTCCTATTCCGCTTTACAGAGTCCACAGATTTTTAACCTAAAGAATAAGTTACAGCTATTTACCAGTTACTTATGCTGTATCTTCGTCTTTATTTATCAAACATATATCATTTTATTTTATGAGGTTTTTCAAGTTTCTTTCTCTATATTCGCTAGCATTCTTTAAAACGTTTCAAAATATGAGCTCAAGCAATACACAAAATATAAAGTACTATCATTCGATTGCCTGCTATAAACTTCATCAAAATATGACCACAATAAACATACTTAAAATATTTGAAATTTTGAAATAATGATTGGTAGATACTTAGCCCCCAAATAGGGGGTTTTTGGGCGCCACTGAAAGATATATTCATACTTGTATGTATATATGTATATTTATGGATATGTGTGCATACGGCGATTGCGGTTGTTTGTGTGTTTCGAATTCTACATGCAGAAAGGGAGGGAGAGGTAGGGAGCTTTTGCGATAACTCAGAGCCGCAGTGGCAAAAACGATGGGGGGAATGGGTGCCCGTTGGATGTGGCTGTGGCTGTGGCAATGGCATGAAAAGAGTGAGATAGAGCGAGAAAAACAACAATAACTTGCAGCAGTGGCAAACGTTGATGGCAACCGGCGACGGCAGCGGCCAACACATGACAAATTCACACCGAATACAAATTGCTCGTGCGAATGAATGAACATTTTTGTAAATTGAAAACTTGATGAATGAAAAATATTTGATGGAAAAACAAAAGAAAAACAATGTCCCGGTCCTGGTCCTGGTCCTGGTCCTGGTCCTAGTCCCGGTCCTAGGCCGCTGCCTGTATCCCGTACGGATACCCGCGATATAACAAGAAAAATTCAACAAATTTTATACAAGGAATTCCAGCTCAAAACTCCTATACAATGGAAGAACTCCCGCATAGTGGAGGGACGGGGCCACTGGGCAGGCAGTTGCCATATGAAAAATTGCTAAAGTTCAGAGCACACCACCCGTGGGAGCAGCAAGAGATACGGATTTTAACTGTTTGTCACAGAATAAAAAGGAAAATTGGCACGAAAAATAGTTGTGAACATAGTCAGAAATGCAATGCAACTAGCATTGTTAAATCCGTTCAGAATCCGTTGAATGGAGTTGGGGAATTTTACTGTTGCACAAAAAAAAAAAAACCTAAAAAGAGAATCAATATATTTTGCAAAAAAAAACTTATCAAGCTTCAATTCATGGAAAGGGGGCTTATAGTAACGTGTTTTAGAGGGAATCATATTTCGAAATGGAATTGTTGAGCGCAACTATGGGAATTGTTGTGGCTTAAATACTATTGTGGGGCATAAATAAATACAATTGAAAGCTTCAACATGCTTTGTAGATAATATAATAAAGTTAAGTAAATTTGTGTTTCCAGTCTCATTTTATTAAAGCCTTCCCATAATTTATTCCATTTCCAGCACCTTTCAACTCATTTCCCAATACTGCTCGCCATTAACCAACACTAACGATACAGCCAGCAGCAAACCATGTCCTCAGTTCAAGCTCATTACAAATTCTGTAAGGTCTAGAAAGCTTCAAAACATTGCGAGCGACCCAAAGCGAAGGTCTACAAATTGTTTTTGCCCTTTTCAAATTAACATTATTTAATCAAAGGCATGCCACCCAAACCTATGCGTAGAGGCATGACCCGAAAAACCTGCTCTACACCTGATACCCAATATACGAACATAGCATTTTACGATGGGGTAGATTGGGGGATTGTGGGTAGAGGTATACGCTGAGTCAGTGGAAAAGACTGGGCCAGAGGTTGCCATATGTGCTACGTGTCACCCGGAATATTAAGCAAATGAATGTTAATAGTAAAGACAACACAGGGAATGAGTTCTATCGAATATCGCAGCCACCCCTCCTGGCTCTCAGCATACGAGTATTTGGCAAATACAAATACTTCTATATTGTATGTACATATAGACAAAAGCCCCGAAACTACAATGTAAGTCCCAAAGGATGTGCAATCGTGTGCTGCTGCTGCTGCTGCTGCTGCTACCCCTGTGTCGATGTAAAAATTAAACCTAATCCGCTCTGGGCGCACATTAATCAATTGCTTATAGAGGGAGAGTATTCCTGAAGCTGAAGCTGAAGCAGAAGCAGCCCGCATGCCCGGGCGGTCGCGTTTACTCACTCACTCACTTCTGGGGCCCTCAGGTATTTTTGGGCATGCTCCAAATTACTTTGAACACTTTCATGGAAAGCGGCTGCCGAAGCAGCAGCAGCCAGGAATTTCCTTTATTAAATCGACCAGCGACAGGACGGGAAGAGGGAAGATGGAAGGAAGACTGGAGATGTGGAGTGGTATTATGGCCGCGCTCCCTGACCTCAGAGAAACCCACCAGATGCGTAATACACGCATCAAACATGAAAATTCTGCCTCCATCTCCCCCCTTGCACCCTTGCAGCTTCTTGTGCCCTTTTGTACCTTGAGCAGCAACCACCGGGGCGAGCTACTGGCTGGCTGCTGGATGGCGTGTCCTGGCAACGACTCGTTCTGGCCACATGCGGGTGCACCCTCCCTAACAACACCTACCTACCCCCCAGCTACTGTTCCCATTTGAGTTCGCGTTTGCTTACGCGTTCCGGTTCCCTTTCCACTGGCTTGGCTACCGTGCAGCAGCATCCGGTGCCGTTCTCACACTCACCATCGCGACGCCTGCACGAGGCGTATCTTTAATTTTCCTAATATGCGTGAATTCTAACGTTTTATGTTTTGTAATTAGAAAAAGAGGCAAAACAAAAACTCCAGCTTCGTGTCGTGTCGCTGACAGGCATCGCATCGCCATTGAAGGAACGGACTGAACGGAGCACAAGGAAGAGGACCGTGGACCCATAATTACCGTGTCAGGTTGTTTAATTGTTGTGAACAGAGGGGAGGGACTAGGATTAGATGCCAGATGTTGTCATAACTTTGAGTAGTAAAAAGAAACTTCAATTAGAAGACTAGAATCTTCCGTTGCACTTGAAGAAAAATACGATACAAAATCTAACTTTGGTTTAATGGTGTTCCGTAGTGAGAATTATTGGAGGGATTTTCTGAAGATTCAGTAAATGAATGTATGGGGATCTTATGGGTATGTTGAGAATAACAAAAAGCATTTCAAACTATGAAAGGAAAAAAAAAGAGTGGAACTTTGTGTCATGTTGAATTATCTAGGTAGTTTCTAGGGTTGGAATATTCTAAGGAAGATCATTAAAATGACAGTTAAAGTCCTACAATATGGGCAAGCAAAGTTTCCACATCTTCAGAATTGCAAGACTCTCACTTTAAAGTCTAAAATGCTCCCCATAGTTATACTTTCCAGTCAGCTAGCCCCTCCAAGAATATAAAAGCAGTAAGTACTCACTTCATCATGATGGCACTCTCAACGGAGAACGCATCCGTGGGCAGGCCGCAAATATTCCAGAAACGAATCTCCACCGGTTCGCCCAGCACAACGGCCAGCTGGAAATCGGGTGAGCAGACGACGCCATAATTGATGCACTTGACGACCCATTTCTTGATTTGTTTGAGCCTGAAATCGATGGTGAAGGGCCCCAGATAGGCCACCACGCCAGAGGAGATCAGCACATCGCCGGTGACGCTCTTGAAGCTGCCCTGCAGCATCTTGGCCGTCTCCGACCAACGGGTGCGTTCGCCACCCAAGCCAGAGATGAGCTCCTGGGCGCGCTGCAATTTCTTCGTACAAGCCTCATGCTCGGCCAAAAGAACGCTGCAAAAAAGAAAACAGGATATTAAAAATGGAATAAATAGATAGCTGCCCCATAGGTTTACCCATATTGCCTAAGCTGCTCGTCGAGAATCTTCTGAATGGCCGCCAGATTGGCCTCAACTCTGGCCAATTGTGCCAACTTTTCATTGAGCGTCTTCATGGCCGCATCATAGGTGGCTTCGGCTGCGGCCAGGGCAATCTTCTTGGGCGCCACAATCTTGGCAACCACATCGTACTTGGACAGGGCAATGACCCATCGACACAGACCCTCGCAGGCCGTCGAGGCCATCTTAATCTTATCCGGATCGAATGCCTCATTGTTTAGGATGCGCTGGGCCAGCTTCTTCATCACCTCGAGCGGAATATTGTCCTTATCGAAGTTGAGCAGACTGTCCAGGAATTTCATGTCGCTGAGTACACGCTTTGAGGGTCCCCAGTAATCCTCAACAGTGCCCACGCCACTCGGATTTGGCACTTTGTCCGGCTTAACATCCTTGAGAATGCACACGGCCTCCATGACAATTCGCACACCAATGGGCGGACTCTTCATTGTCTTGACCACAGCAATGTCCGCGGTAGTTAGGGTATTCAGGGCGGCCAGAGCCGAATTCAAAATGGGCAGCGCTTCACCCAATTTGGCATCGCACTCGTCCTTGATCGTTTGAGCCACAGCCGCCTGCTCCTTGGCCGACTGTTCGTCCTGTTTGACAATCTCCCTCTGTTCGGCTGCAAGGTTACTGTCTGCCGTCACCTTGGCCACCTGCTCGGCCACAATTTCCGAGGCTTCTTTCAATTTGGGCTCGAGCGCCTGCAGTTGCTCCTGCATCACACCCACTTGCTGGGCGGCAATGTCCAGCTGTGAGATGCCCGTCAAGTAGCGATTGCGGTTCGTTGTGATGTTGCTAAAAAGGAGCAGATAAATTCCCACTGAGAAGTGCACTTGGACGGCGAGTTCTACTCACTTTCTCTTCTGACTGAGCAAAGATTTGAATGTTTGGATCAGCTCCAAATATGAGGTGGGTGTCACGTAGTTGTATCTGTGCAATCTGGAGAAGAATTTCTCGGATAGCTTCTGTGTGGACGTGTGGAACTCCATGCACATGTCAATGGCGGTGCTGCGCTCCAGGGCGGTCAGATCCTCGGTGGACAGGAAGCGCGTGGAGACGGCCAGAAGGGCATCCTCCGGCCAGGATTGGAACCAATCGATGGTACAGCAATTGACAATGGAAGGGAACTTACGAATACGATTGCGCAGCGCGTCGCCAATGGGCGACATGGCCAGCACAATATGCAGCTGATCTTTACAAGTCTAAGGGGGAAAATTCAGATACGAAAATTAGTACATAAAAAGGGAAAGATATGCGTCTAGTTCGTGCTGTGATCCCACCGTAACAAAGAAATTGAACAGAGCCACAGGACTGCCATCCGTTTGGACAGCCTTATCGCGTTGCTTGTCGATCTGCGCCATCTTCTCCACCACCTCGATCTTCTCCTCGTTGGTAAACAGATTGGGCACCTCGCCCGAGTTGAGCAGATTGTTGATGTCCTCCAGGAACGATTCATCCTTGATCTATAACGAGTCTAAGCGGGTTAGAAAAACCAAGCACCCAGGCAAGTAGCAGTCCAATAGCCAAGTAGCAGTTCCCACCTGTACGTCCGTAAAGAGAAAAACGCCGTGCATCTCGGATGCCCCAATTTTGCGTAAGATTGTCTTGATATCCTCGTGATACTCGTAGGGGCCATACAATCGAGTTATTTCCACTTGAAATAGCTCATAGTCGCATATATGCGAAGCCAGACGAGTCAAGCTCTGGCGTCCGGAGCCGCCGACCCCAATGAGCAGAGCATGACTACGTGGCTGCTTTATGATGCGGCATATGCGCGACAAATGCTCGACGGCAAAGCGGAAAAGCACCAGATTCATGGGCTTCTTCGACATGTTGTTGTACTCCACCAGATAGGCCTCCACCACATTGCGCAGCTCCTCCAGGTCCTGCACCTCAACATAGTTCTTGGTATCGGCCTTCGGATTGGTGAAGTCACAGTAAATCAACTGACGGAAATCGGACTCCTCCAGTCCCTTCTTGCCCTTGCCCACAAGTCGCCCAAACAGCTTCGTGGCATCCACATTGAACGCATTCCTCACAGTGATGCACACGTTCTCAAACAACCAGCTACGATCGGCATCCTCCACCAGCCGATCCCCATAGACCCGCAATACCTCGTGCACCCACAGGCGACGCATCGAGTTCATGTCCTCTGTCGCCTCGGGCACCGACAGCAGCACACCCTGTATGACCCTAGAGAAGTCCCGCAGGTTGAACAGATAATGCGACTTGGCCGGTGTGGGCAGCAGATTTAGCTTGGCATCATTGTAAATGGTCAGCGTGGCACTCACAATCTCATCTATGCAGGGATCGAATTCTTTGGAGAAGCCCCTAAATGCAGGCAGAATAAATCATATTGAGTAACCCTCAATCGAAGTGCATTTATCGGGTCTTACCTGGTATCCAAATGCCAGAGCACAATCTTGCTAAAGATCGTGGTCATGATCTCGTTGTTGAAGTCATCGATGGCCACCACATTGAAGAATCGCTGGAATCGCTGTGTCACTGTATTGCCCGTCGATGGCGGCCCCATGGCCGTAATCATTTGCAGGTCTATCAGCTTCATGGGCACAATGTTCTTCCGATCGTACCACATCATGTGGTCGAGCATCATGCGCAGCAACTCGATGGGCGGCTGGGCCCCGTAGTTCTCTTTGAGCGGCATGGAAACATCATCCACGAAGATCACAAAACGCTTATTGAGCGGTGGACCGAATACACCCTTTCGCCGCTTATCCAGCTTGGACATTATAATGTCCTGCGTCTGATTGGCCGAGGTCTGTGCGGAAAAGCTGATCAGCAGCGGCTTGTAGGTATTCAAATCCATGCGCTTCAGCATGTAATCAATCACATAGACACTCTTGCCGGTACCCGTGGGTCCGACCAGCATCAGGGGCTTGGCATGGCGCACCAGCAGATCGAGAACGGCGGCAATGCGAACGCTTTCATTGGTTTGGATTATGATCTGATTGACGGGTATGTCGCGGGGTATGGGCGGAGCCGAATTCACGTCATCCTGCCATGGCTTCCACTTGCCCTTGCCCTCTTTTATGTATCGATAATCGAAGACCGATCCGTTCTTTGGTATGGGGAATATGAAAGGCTTCGCCAGCACATCCACATACAGATCGGCTGTGACACCATACAGCTCGTACAGGTTCTGCGGGAATGTCTTCTCCATCAGAGCCCGAAAGATAATGTTGAACTTCTCCCGGCTGTCGGCATCCAGCGAGCCGCCGAGCGACCAAACGGCTGAGAATAAGAATATCCCCTCGAGTTGGGCTCGAAAGTCCAAGTCCGATATATTGGCCACGTACTTTTCGTCCTTGAAGTCATCGATGAAGCACTCGAAGAAGTTCATGAGGCTCACCATCAGATTGGCATCCGAAGTGGGTGCGATCTCCTTCAGGCTCTTCCGCACAATGTACAGCAGGATCGGGCAGAAGCGCGAGATCATCGAGGAGATCAACTGCTTGCTGACCGTGTGAAAGGCCGCCGGCAAGGTGTTCTTCCACGAAGCCACCAACGGCTCCCAGCCCAAGGAGCTCGGTTCCAAGTAGATCATGCCACAACGCGACACTGTTGCCGGCGAGGCCACCTCCAAGTCCATCGGCTCGAATATCAGATTGGTGCTATTCGACAGTTGAATAATCTCGCCGGACATCAGGCACAGCTTCTTGTTGTCATCGAGCACTGTGTTCATGTTCTCGATCCAAATGGCATCCACGGGCCCATCGAAGATCAGCCACTTGCGATCGGGGCTGTCAGACACGGCGAAGATGCGATAATTGACGGCCAGAATGCCATCGCTCCACTCGTGGGAGACGGCATCGAACTGTCCGTAAAGTTGACCCATGGTAATGGCCTTCGGATTGATGACTGTATAAATGGCTTTGTTTTCGGAACCATCCTGCGACGAGCATTCGGGAGAGTAAGTGAATATTAAATATTCTCTAATTTAAATCAATATTTGCGCCCCTACCTTGTTCTCCATGCACTCCAGAGCCTCTGCTAGCACACGATATGTCGTAGACTTGCCACCAAACGGATAACCCACCAGCATAAGTCCGTGCCGCACCACAATCATTTCATACAGCTGCGAAAGAATGAACCAATGAATATTTAAGTGAATAATAATCAAAACTTGGATCTGGCCCACCTGCTGAACCTTCTCCAGGACAAATGGAGTGCACTGTTTGTTCTGCCTTTCGCACGCCCATCTGGTGCACTCGTTAAAGATCACATAATCGGCCTCCGGCAATGTTACGCCCGGGAACAAATCAGAGGTGATGCCCTGGAACAGGGGAATATCCTGATTGAGGAACTTGGGCAAGTTGACATCTTTGATGGAGCGCAGGACGAGTATGTCCTCGTTCTCATTGCGATAACGTAGCTTTAAGGCGCCCGCTGCCTTCAGCACAGACTTCACAGCACGCATGCCATAATCGTAGTGGCACTGAGTACTCAACTGCTCGGAGCACAGCCGATAGGTGGCCACAATCTTCACGGACAAAGGCTTGGCCGTGAGGAAGCCATAGGAGTAAAGTTCTATCTCAGAGATGAGAGCATAATCCGGCACCATCATGGCCACAGAACGGAAGAGTGCCTAAACAACGAAGCGAAGGAAGCAATTTAAGCCAATGAAATGCCAAACGAAAGGCAAACCCTACCTTCAGATTATCAGGCAGCTCCGAGCGACCAGCATAGCCAGGATTCATTGTGATGAAGACCGCGCAAGTGGGGTCCAGGGTGAGGGTGGTGCCCTCAAACACCAAGGTGGGACTGCCAGAGTTGATGCCCCGCTGGATGGTCATAATCTGCTGGGCCACCACCGACAAGACCTCGAGATCGATGCGATTGAATTCATCGAAGCAGGACCAGGCGCCGCAAGAGGCCAGACCCTTGAAGAACTTGCCCAGAGCCAGATAGTCCAGGCCGTCCGAGCAGTTGAAGACCACACACTGCTTGGCCACGGCCTTGGCCAGATCCTTGGTGGTCTCCGTTTTGCCAGTGCCCGCCGGACCTTCGGGCGCACCGCCCAAATGCAGATTCAAAGCAGCAAACAGAGTGCGATAGCAACGATCCGTCAGTGGGGTGACGACCAGTCGCGTGGTGTTGCCCAAATACTCGTAGCCGTAGGGCAGCGAGCAGTTTATCATGCGCGTGTCCAGGTTGTTCTCCTCCCAGTAGTATCGCAGCTGGCACAGCCACTGGAAGTCCTGCAGATCCTCCACCTCCTTTTCCACAATTTCTGCCAGCACATCGCGAGCGTGCACATCCAACACCACCAGGGCGCCCAGTGTGATGCGGTTCTGTGTGTTCAGATCGCCGCGCACCAGATCGACGATCTTGTTGATTTGCTGTATGCATTTTTGCAGATATTTGGCCAGATTCCCCTTGGGGTCGTCACTCTCGAAGCACTCGGTAATCTCCAGCGTCCAGTAGGTCAGCGATATGGACTGCACACACTGACCCGGCCACGTGAGCACCCACACATTGCGCACAATCTTCAGATAGCTGTAGAAGGCCTCCGACATCTTGTGGTGTATGCTCTTCTTCATGTCGATCTCCAGCTCCAGCAGCCACTTCTCGACTTGACCGCGCGCCTTGGACGTTGAGATGACATCCACCAGGACCACCTCCTCACGCTCCGAGGAGCGCATGGCCGTCACATCCAATTCCTCGGTGAAGTTCAGCGTGGCAATGCCCTCGAAGCACTTCTTCAGATGCGGCTGGACGCGCGTCGGGTCCTTCGTCTCCGAGAGTATTTCCAGCAGCTCGTCGTTGGACAGGAAGAAGAAACGCGGGAAGTACAGTCGCTTCTTCTCCAAATAGGCATTGAGACCCTTCTGGATAATCTCCAGCAAGCTGTATGCCTTCTTCAGCTTGTCGTTCATCTTGTCGATTTGCACAACGGTCATGACACGTGGATCCGAGGCCACCTGCTTCATCAGCTCCTTCCATATCTACAAAACCACAAAGCGAATAGCAATGGGATGCCAAAATCTGCAAGGGTTGGGGGCACGGCACCCACTCACCTTATCGACGGCACTGAAGCGTCGCCCCTCCTCGGGCATCTGTTGCTGAATGTCCGGACTACTGAATATGGGCTCCAAGTACATCCAAGTTGCCTGCACCCGCAGCCATTCGTCCAGGATCTCCTGCAGCAGCATTAGTTTGGCCTCCCACTTCCTGCAAAAAGGCCAACAATGGTTAGCATGTGTGACTTGTGTGGCTTGTGTGTGTGTACGCCTCTGGCACTGACAGCTCAATAAATAGATGGAGCAGAAGTGGCGGCCAGGCCAGGGCGACACTGCAACTCTCTGCAACTCCCAAGGGTAAGAATATTAACAACATTTTGTGGATTAAACCATACAACAAGTGTGTCTGCTATTCCCATTCCTTAAGAAACCCTCACAGAACCCTCGCATATACTTACAGTATCTCCGCCTCAAATGGCTTGATGTAGGGTGAGCTCTTCATCGTCTGCGTCTTGATGATTTGATCGTCCAGCAGTATTTGTATGTCATCCACGGAGGACAGCTTAAAGGTTCCGGAGTCCCTGTGGGAGACATTTCAATTACAGTAACATGAACATGAACATGGACGCCCCCCCCTCCACCCCTCCCACTGTGGCGTACCTGTATGGCGAAATGGTAAACTCAACGCCCTCCCATTCGTTGACCATCTTGGCCATGGCCTTCTCCAGATTGTTCTCCTTGGTGGCACTCTCCGAAATGGCCTCAAACTTGGGCACATACTCATCCAGCTGGTATTCGATAATCTTCTCGAGCGTCAGCTCCGACGACACCTTAATGGGGAAGCCAATTATCTCGGATACTTGCTCCCAATGGCGCGCCTTCATGCCCGGATTGCCCAATGTATTGATGATGGGCATGTGCTCGCGGAAGGCCTCAATCTGATCCTTGACATCGAGTATCAATTGCATTGTGGTGGGATGATCTCCCATTTGTTTCTCCAGCTTCTGGATGATGCGATGGAAGTTGGACACATCCGTGTCGATCTCGTCCGGATCGAAGGATCCCACCTGGGAGTGCATCCACAGGTCATACTTGTCCATAAAGTCTTGGCCGGCATCAAAGAGCGCCTTATAGGGCTTCAATTGATCGTGGGCCTTCTTGCGCATCGGATACTGCGACAGATCCCAGCCATAGGAAGTTTCCTCCTCGTTGATCTGATCGATGGTCTCCATGGCCTGAATCAGACGCTGATCCAATAGGTTGGCCCTCTTCTTGTACCGCTGCAGCTGTTTGATGTCGCCCCATGTGTCGTAGGCCTGCACCTGCTCGTAGTAGTTCTGCAGCTCGCGTCGGAACAGATCGATGCGCTTCTTCAGCAGCTCCTGGTACTCGATCATCTTTTCGGCTATGATGGCGCGATGCTGCTCGAATACGGAGGGCAGCTTCAGGTACCACTGGAAGGAGTTGCTGTTGTTTTTTATTTCCAGCGGCGAGTATAGCGTATGATCCATTAGCCACAGAATTTCGCCCATGTTAACCTTCAGACGGGCCTCCATCTCGGGCACGAGATTCTCCTCGGCATGCACCACATAGGCCTTCAGTTCCATCAGCTCTGCGGTGTCCTTGGGCACAGTCAGCGCCTTCTTTGCTATGGCATCGTATTCCTTGCCCAGCCTGGAGATTCTCTGCTGCTGATCGGTCACCATGCGGGTGAGTAGCTCGTTCTGCAGCTGCCTCGCCAGTGTCTCCAGATGCAGAATAAACTTATCGCGATGGAACTCGTACAGGCCCATGCGTATGACGCTCCACACCTCCCTGGCAATGCGATCCTCCTTCTCCTTGTACTCGTAGACCATTTCCGAATACTGATCGAAGGTGGCCTCGCCCTCCATAAAGTTGGCCACACGCTCCGCATCGATGCCATTGATGAGATCAATGAACTGATCAAAGTCCTGCAGTCGCAGCTCGGGCCCAATGCGCTGCTCCTCCAAAAGCGCACAAATCCGATTCTTTGTATCCTGCACAATGCTATCCGGCACGGCGGGGGTGAGGAACATCTTCTTGGATATCACCAGATCCGTATACAGCTTGCTCTCAATGCGTGGAAACATGGTAACACTCATCACAATCGAATCGATGACACGCAGCAACTCGCTTTGGATCTTCGAAAAGCCGGGATTAAAGCTGATGGTATCCTCATCGCTAAGCATCACAGAGATTTCAAAGCCCGGATTCGAATGCTGTCAAGGGGAAGCAACTTCATTTAATCTATTGAAGGCCAAGAATTTACTTTCACTCACCCCGAAATCGCAAACAAAGTCGGCAAAGGCCTTCAGACTCCGGATGCAAATGTCCTCCAGCTGCTGGGTCATCAGTGCCGCCACACAGTTGAAGAAACGCTTGACCAGCGTCACTCTTCTAATATCCGGCAACTGGCCGCGCTTGCTGGCCTTCAGCAGCGTCGAGTGTATCTCGCCAAACCATGTCTCATCCAGCATGGTCTTGACTTTATCGATATGCGATCCACACAGATACTGCCAGGCAAACAAAGTGGAAACAATTTCAAGGTAGATTGCTGGGGTAATCCCTTCCCTGCGCTAAGCTTACCACAAAACCGAACAGCGTGTATGGGCCCTCAGCCTGGCTAACCTCCTGAATGTCGACCAAAGTCTTGTTGATGTATTTCATGCTCCATAGCTCCAGTATGCTGGCCACACTTCGATGTATGCTGAACAGCGTTTTCATCAGTCGATTGCGATTCTCATCATAGCTGAAGGAGATAGGAGACGGGAGCGTTAGTTGGGTTGGCTATGCAAATTATCTGCGTCTACGCCAAAACTTTTCACTCGAGCTACTTCGTCACAGCCCATTAAGCAGTGCAGGCAACCGCAACGCAACGCAACCATCCTGCCACCCACGCAACCACCGACGCCAGAGGCATTCTTAATGATGCCAAATGCTCAAAGGGCCATAAATTACCGAACCTCACACGGCTGTGGGGCTTCTATATATCGATAGGCCATCGCCGTCGCCCAATTTGCCAAGAGCCGACCCACTTAGAAGCCCCCGATAAGGAAACCCAAACCAAACCCAAACTATTTACGTGCGAATTAGAGATGGGAGCGTGCCGAAACACGTGCTATCTGTGATGGGCGAGGTAGCGGCCGTTAAGTGCTATCGATCTGCTTGGGTGCTCGTGTCACGACACTTGCACATCGCTAGCCGACAAAACTTTAGCCGCCCAGCCACACCTACACACCCACACCAAGCGGCTTAATACTCAGTGTCAGAAACAAGTTCAATTCATTTTTAAGCATATCCTTTTTGCAATTTATGTCTCGCCCCCTGCTCAACCAAATCCCAGCCCAAAAAAGCACGCAGCAAGCAGCATCAACCATCTTCTCCGGTCTTCCGCCGCCACCGCCCGCAACTTCAAGTCAGCTTACTGTTGCTCATCAAATGTCAAACCAATACACAGGAGGACTTAACTTTCTGTTGCGCTGCCGCTGCTTTTGCTTTTGTTTGGAAATACCCTTGAAGAGGTGTTGATGAATTTTACAAGATGCTTGCAACGAGGGAAGGACCCACTGAATCATCATCAAAGTACATAATTTCTGAGTATTAAAACTATCCAAGTTTCTAAGTCAGAAAAGCCAAATGTTAGCTTTGGTTTAGTGACAATACGAATAACTCAGCTCTGTTAGAGTATCTCAAGCTTCGACCCCGCCCTTATGTTTCCTATTGCTGTTGCCTTGGCCCTGGATGCTTGTGGTGGTGGTGCTGCCTTTCCCATTTCCGTGGCATTGTAGTTGAAAAAGTGCGGTTAAAAAGTTTTTGGCACGCCGCTAAGCGATTTCTCGCGTTTTCCCCATTGCAAGAAGCTTTTAATAATGTCGCACGACTTTCGTTATTTTCACTCCCAGAGAGCAGAAAGAATCTCCGAGGCAACATTGTGTGTGCGTCACACTGCTGCCGCAAATCGAGATGAAGTTACGAGTATTTTCATAAGATTTCGCGCGTTGCCGCAACGCAACTCAAAGGGCGGCAATTCATTTCATAAAAATCGGATTGGGATTTTAATCCACAATGAAACCCAGCCCAGCCAGCATTTCCACATATGTGGGCGGGATCCGGATACGGTATGCTCGAGTGCTTGTGTGTATGTAATTGCATGTCAATTGCACGCTTCTTTTGGGGCAAAAAAAAAAGGGAAAGGGAAGCCCCAGCGCTCGCATTCAATTATGGCAACTTTTTCTTTCACTTCTGCTGTTTTTTGTTTGGCTCATTGTAAGCGCAAAATTTACTGCGGGTGCCGGCAGAGGTATGGGTATAATTTATTTTAATTAAAAAAATGAATCTCGCATTAGCTGAGGAAGGTCAAAGTTAATTTTCGCCTCTCCATTCATTGCGAAAACTCTTGAAATGAAAATAAAAGCTGAAAAACGAGATGATAGATCGTGTATGCCTTATATGTGGTTGGTATACTCGTATGTTGCATGGCATTAATCACTACCTTTAAATGGTTTTTTTATGTTAACTTTTAAATTAATCCATAATTGAATTTTAGCTTCTATTTTTTCTGACAATTAGTTGGAAAAAACTCACCGAAAACGCCAATGATTCGTCAGCAGCCTCACTTCACGACGCTCTGCGGTCTCGAATAGTCCCGTGGAACCCTCTTTGGTCAGCCGATCGAGCGCCGTGTGACGCAGCACATAGTCAACGACGGCCTTCTTCATGGCAAACACATAATCCGCACGCACCTCGGCAATGTTCTCATTGAGAGCGGTTTGCCATTTGTTCAGAAACGCCGGCACCAGATCCGTAATCCTACAAAGAAATACCGAGAGATAGTTATGGATGAAACGAAATATTTATGTGGATGACTCCGCGCACCTTTTGAGAATCTTTCTGTTGAGCGGCGACACATGGATCGTGTCGATGCCATGCTTGATGTAGTAATAGTAGCGAAGGGTCTCCTTCTCGTCCTTGTCGGGAAAGGGTATCTGACACTGACCCACCTGCTCCGCATCCTGATCATCGTCCATGTGCAGTATCAATTCGACCAGTTTGCGTCGAAAGTGTTCGCGCTCCACCCGCATCGCCATGTAGTTGGCTTTGCCCTTCCGTTCAGACTCCGCCTGCTTTTCCTCCCGCTTGCGCCGGGCACGCTTTTTGGGGCAGAGTATGCTTTCGGGCAGATCGGAGACCATTTTCCCATCCAGTATTCCACTCGTGCACTCCGGCATATTCAGTTCGTACCAGAGACGCCGGGATTTGTACTCAGGATTGGCCTTCGACTGCAGGATGCTCTGCAGCACATCCGGCTTGGGCCGGGTGTAGAGCATTTTGGACTTTTCGCATATGCGGCGAGCGCCGCAAATGGAAGTAAAGCTGGGTATACTCATATCCCTATTGGGATCTTGTCGGTTCTGCATGTTGTGGTCTGTAAAAAGAATCAAATTTGAATTTAAATTTAAACTATATCCGGTTCATGAGGAAAGTGGTTGGAGTCTTTGCTAGTTTCTGGGTGGCAGCGCTGGCATGCGGTAATATCGATAGCGCAAACCGTTTCAGACAGACTTACATTTTATGATATGACCTTTGTTGCTTAAACCTTATTTTACAAACATTCCAATTAACTGGAGTCGTTAAAGCTAGCCAATCTTGTAGATAATTTATTCATCTATCGGATAAAATTATATGCAAAGTGCGGAGAGTCCTAGCTAGCCATTAATATTAAGCCGAATATTAAAATCGTGAAATATGATTTCCCATCAACTGAAAAGAACGTTAGCCCATTATTGTCCACGGGGGTATGAAATATTCCCACGAAATTTATGAAACGACTAACTTTAGCGTAATTCAGTTGAAAGATATCGTGGTCATTTTTTTGTTTAACTCAAGGTGTTCAACTGTTTTAATGGAGGTTTGTTGGGTTAAGTTCGTCAAGTCAGACGTTATCGATTGATGAACACATGATACCGGCTGCTGTTTTACCATCACTATTGTGAATTGTGCAACCCGAAAAATTAATTTTAAGTAAATTTTAAGTTTAAGTAAAGACATCGACTTACCAGTCGTAGTTCTATTGCAGCACACAAAAATTGTTTGTTTAGTACGCGCCGCAACGCGTTTTTTTTCGTTTTTTTTATCCGAACATACGAACGTGTTGAAAACAAATGCAAATGCCACACGTTTTCCTGTTTATTTTGAATTGATTTTGGAAAAGTTGGAAAAACAAGCAACCGGCGTTGCCCATAGCAGCAGGCGGCCCAGAGCAACAAGTCACCTCATACCCCTAGGACTCCATCACACAAAAAAGTAAAAAACAAAATTCAAATAAAAAAACCTGCAATGTTGCTACAAAAGTTCTGCATGCGCGCGCTGCACACCACACGAATGGTGTATGCCAGTGGATCAGGCACCGGTCTGGAGAAGAGTGCCCTGTCCACCCTACGCAAGAAGACCGGCTACACATTCGCCAACTGCAAGAAGGCCCTGGAGTTGCATAACAACGATGTCAGCGAGGTGAGTGACCTATCATCTGGTACACTATTCTCTCAGAGATTTAAATCTGTCACTCTTTCTGGAATAGGCGGAGAAATGGCTGCATGCACAGGCACAGAGTCTCGGCTGGACCAAGGCCACCAAAATGGCAGATCGTGCCACTGCCCAGGGCCTCGTCGGGGTTCTCATACGCGGCAATCTAGGCGCCATGGTGGAACTCAATTGTGAGACCGATTTCGTGGCACGCAATGATGTCTTCAAGCGCTTCGTGGACCATGTCGCACGGATCTGCCTGCAATACACGGAAGCGATTGAATTTGACGGAGATCTCTGGAAGGTAAGTTTATACATTTCAGTTCTGGTTTTTAATGGCTAACGTATCGAGCATTTATTTTATCAGCTTGGCTACGAAACGGAGGCTTTAAGGAATCTTCCTACTGATGAGGGCCGCAATTTGGGCGATCATTTGGCTCTGCTTATCGGCGCTGTGGGCGAGAATGCCACCATCAAGCGGGCCATCTGCTTTAAGGCCAAGCATGACATTAATTTGTGCGGCTATGCCCATCCGGCACCCGCCAATGTGGGCACCACTGAGGACACCACACAAGTGGGCAAATACGGTACCATTTTGGCATTCCGTTCCGACGTTAAGTATCCGGACTACGAGTTCCAGAAAAGCATTTGCCAGCAAATTGTGGGCCTGAAGCCAAAGAAGATTGGTGAATACGACAAGGACAAGCCTGTCGAGAACAAGGACGACGAGACGTGTCTCATCCATCAGGAGTATCTGCTGGACTCGGACAGAACTGTCGGAGAAATTCTCAAGGAGAACCAGACCACAGTTGTCGACTATCATCGGTACGAGTGCGGCGAGGCGACCAAAGGCAATCTCGACGAAATTCTTCGCTCCCGAGAGCAGAGTAGCAATTAAATAGATCTAAAGCCAGACGACTGCAGCATACAACATTGTTATACACCAAACCAAATTACACACAACAAAAATTAGACCCAAATTCTGGACAAAATTTGCATGTTGAATAAGAACAATAACTACAACGAACCTCAAGTGTACAAAATGTACTTTGAATACCATGAGTCATGGCAAAAAATTGGGGTAACCGAGTGAAATGCCTGTGTGCGCCTGCGCAACACGGGAAGCACGCTTGAGCGCCTTCCGGCGGCGTCGGCGGCGGCAGCGGCAGCAGCAGCAGTAGAAGAATGGACAGTAGAATGAACTGTTTATGAACGTGTTTTGTTCTGTAGCCGGTAATTACCGGCACTTCAGGTGCTGGCCCAAAGAAAGCTGCCAAAAAGGGGGAAAAGGCCAAAACAGGTATTGGATGAAGCTACTCTTCTGGGACCTCCACCGCAAGTTCAATGAGCCCTTCGGGTCACGTGTAGAGTTCATCAAATGAAGCTGGAAATCAATGTTAGATGAATTATAAATCTCTTCACAATTTGGGTGGCGGAATACATTCGGATGCGATTCCAAACAAGCACAGCATATCGAATGACTTTAATCGTTATCAAGAAAGGTCATGTCATTGCCAGCTTAAATCTCAACTGTGCCAATTTTTTTTTTCCTGAAATGTCAAATTTTTTCAGTCGAGCAGTCGGTTCATAGCTGACATTTCATTTAGTCTGTTCGATTAGAAGGATTAAATTAAATAAAAATTTACGCAAAATTGAATAACAAAAAATGGACCTAGAATCGTTTCGCTCAAAGTATAGCGACCTAACAGTAACCGCTTTGCCCGCTGGTGGAAAGAAGGAAGAACAAAAGGACAACGAAGAGGACTTCAAGATGGCTACTCTGAAGGAGCAAACGCCACGCGTAGAAATTACACGCGTATCCTCTGGTAATGGCACTGCATACGGACCCTCTACATCAACTCCGTTGGGCGGCACCTCATCGTCCTCTGCTGGCGGACCAATCTCATCGACTCCGACTGGACAATATCCATCGAAAAATCGCGTCGGTTCTGCATTCGGACCGGCTGACGGGTCTGGCTCCTTGCGCACCCGATCGCAGCAGCAGACTGCCGCCGCCCTGGCCTACGCCACTGAGTACAAGGAGGTGATGGAAAAACTGGACTACACAAAATACATGCAGGCCAAGCTGAAGCAGTTGTCCGAAGCGCAGGGCCAAAGTTTCAGTGGAGCAGCTCCCCAAACTGGGATGACCTTTGGGAATAAGCTTCTTGCCGACGAGGATCCCAAAGGGACCATTGTGGACACATTCGATAATCTTGTGTCCGTTGTGGGGAAGATGAAGGCCGTCTTGAACCCCACTGGCATGGGGAGGCGCATCGCCTCGGACCGTTTGTTGTATGAAATAGCCAATGCCCGTGTCGTGGTGAAGGCGGGTCAACAAATCCTAAAGCGCGAAGAGCTGGAGACTTCAGTTATTCCCGCCGACGAGTGACGTCATCCGGTGCAGGTTGACCGCAGCACATTTTACGACACTTTCCAGTGAGTGCCACACTAAAAGAACAATAACAATAAAACAATAACAAAAAGTGGGGAGTTCAGTTCTGAGAACTTCCAGCACATGAAAAAGAGTCTGGTCTGGTTTGTGTATGGTATGGCCGGCATTTTGACACTAGCGCGCAGCGGAGCGCAAAACTTGTCCATCATGAATGGTGCTAGGGGAATGTTTGGGGTCGCCTCGATGATACCCTTGGTATAGATTGGAATTAAACTCTACATGGAAGTTTATAGCTTTCAGTGACATTAGTAATGGCTGTATGACACTATTTTAAGCTACCTCTCCTACATATCTAAACGTCAAAGTTAGCCTGGTACAAATAGTGCCATAGACTGATAGCCGAGTCTCTCTTTTTTAGCAGGATTCAGCGTCTCTTCAGTGTCTCTTATATCAGACAGGTAGTAGGTGTAGTGTAATGTTTCCAAAAAGCCAAGTTATCGATATGCATGACTACGATAACGCATTAATAGCATTCCTGAAAGTGGCTGGATTACCTTAGCTTTTTACGCTTTAAAACGCATATATATCAACAAAAATAATTATACACTTTTCACTAGAGTACCCTGGACTTTTCGATCAGCTTGCCTAATATACCCACTGCCAGGCCACTTCCGCACCTGGAAAGGGTCACCACCACTCCTCCTCCTCCTCCACTCACTGACGCCAGCCCCGACGTAGCCCCAGCCTGCTGCTGCCTTGACATGCGATCGCGCCGCTTCAATTGAAGTTTTTCATGTCGGGGGCTTCCAGTCGTAAGCCGACTTTTCACGGGTTAACGCCAGATCAGTAGCGACCGGATCGCACGCACAGTACTAATACCAAGACTTCACTTCGTTCCTGCGCGGGAACAGCTGCGCCGCTGCCTTTTGCTTCCGCTCTGCAAATACATACATACATAATTCGGGTTAATTTGTTTGGAAAGTGCGGCAAATAGTTTTTCAGTTTTTCATATTTTCGCAAGCCACAAAAAGTTATTAACAAAACGCCGGGCGGTAATTGCACAGTGCAAAAAACAAAAAAATTGCCACAGTCTTGCTATCTCTCGGTGGAACGGTAAATTGCCAGAAGTGACCAATAAGGAAAAAGGCGACAAAGCAAAGTGGGAGAAGAAGGTGACGAAAGAAAATAAGCAAAAACAGCCAAATAGAGCAAGGAGTGACATCAATAAACGAAGCGAATGTTTAAGTGCGAAACAATTAAAATTGTTTGATTTCAAGTTGCAAAGCGCCGTCGCAAGACTACGAGAAAACTACAGCTGCATTAGCGTTGCCGCACATCGCACATATCTGCATCGCGGGAGCCACAACAAATTGGACAACAAAATGCCGCCGTTTAATTTCATCAAGCAGGTGAGGAGTGTGGAAAAGGTACCATTTAAATGTTTGGTGTGAACAGTAGCACTTAAATGTTTCAATTTGCATACGAGTGTGCGCGCAGATAAATGCAAATGCATTTATTGCGCGTTAAGTCGCTTGTCAACATGGTAAATTAATTAACCTTTGTGTGGTAATGCAACTAGATGAGGAGACATTTGTTGGCAACGCCAAGATTATTACAGATTGAGTAGGTTTCGGTACCAAGCTATGTATATTAATGGAGCAAGATGTTTTCCCATATAAATGCAGTGGAAAAACTGGGTAAAATTGCGATTGTGATACAAATTGATGCAGATGTGATGCACAGATCAGGGAAAAGTCGTGCCCCTTGGCTCAAAAGAAACCATACGGTTTTAAATGATACCCTTTTTAATCTCCTTGTGAAACTGTCTTCTGGTAAGTGAATAAACAAGTATCCTGCGAATATCCCGTGGTAGGAAATCGGTTTTATTGAATAACACCCGAGTTTAAGTTCCTTCACCACCAATTCATAACTTTACCTCGACACCTGCATATGGAGATCGTTGTGCAATTATTATTTGATGATGACATCTCTCTCAATTGCAATTGCCCTTGAAACTCCAATCAATTAATTAGAATACGCGTCTCTAGTATCTACTCTACAGAGAAAAGTAGAACAGCAATGACAAACGAATGCGTCAGAGCCAGTAAAGATAGTAGAGTTACACATTATTCGACACAATCAATCATAGTGGATACCTGTGAACGACAAGCGACAGACAAGAAACGTGTCTAATTGGCCAAAATTCAAAACCAAATAATAGACGAAATGAAGCCATAGACCATAGACCTGGCCTGTCTGTGGATGGGAATCCAGTTTGAATAGAAAATAGATTTATCTAAATCAGGGTGACCAGCTGGAGATGAAATAAGACAACCGAAAAGAGATTTTCTGTAATTAAGTGGGCCTCTGCAGATGGTCTGCTCACAGATGGCTTCCGGTGATTAAATGTCAGAAACAAGACCAATGGAGGTAACAGAACCACGCATAAACAAACGGCATCCCATGCTGGGAACTAAGAAAAGAAAATACCCAAAACAAACCATAAAGGTGGGAACAATTTCTACGCAAACCCATAAAGAAAACCCTTTGCCCCACCCATCAAAGCTTTCTTCTTTCTCCACTAATTTGAAGCACCAAGAAGATCGTTTGTCTGAGTCCGATGATCTTGGACTTACCAATGGGTAGGTAAGCCAATGCAAATGGGTCAACGGGCAGTGTTTCAGAAGCTGCAGACCATCCACGGGGGGGAAATACTATGATTATATTACGAGTGATTTTTTGGGGGGCTCTGCCTAATGAATTTCCAAGCATTAAGGCAACATTTTGTTTAATTTTCGTGGCTTTTCCTCATCGTGTGATAATTAAGATGAATGAACCCGAGTCTTTGGCTGGTTAGAAAGTTATTGCACCACATTTACGGATAGTTCGGGCTCCAAATTTTAGGGGCTTATCTCATCTCAAGAGCAGCTGAACCCGAACCGAGAGGCTGCCTCATACATACATATTTGCATTTTTCTTCGGTTTTTGTATTTTTAGTATTTAACGCGAGGTTAATTGCATGTTAGCCAACAGTTAAATAACAGTTATTCGTGCAGCTGCCGGGTTTGTTTATGGCTACCAAAATGTTCATCCAAAATTGTTCAGCTTCCATCGCAATTGTTGTCCCAGCCATTTCTTTGCAATTGTCTCTCTTATTTTTTTTAATGAAGAAATTATTTTGAACTTTTCGTGTTACCTCCGTGGCTTCACCCACACCTTTGCCAATGGCCTCTGGCGTGGGAAGCTGTCGACTGCGACTGACTACCGCATCTCTATTTTTTTTTTCACTTGATTCCAAATCGCTATTACGAACGGCAAAAGGAAATCCAAGCCAAACAAAAAGTACCAAAAAATAAAACTACCGTTTGCTGTGGCAATTTTGTGAAATTTGTGCAGGAAAATCCATGCGGGCTTTGCCTTTCGAAATCAATATTTATTATTGATCGCCATTTGTTCCATCGTATCAACGTTAATTAACCATTTCGTAATGCTAAATCAAATGCATCGCCAGCCGAAACACCTGTTATTGTTATTGTTATTGCCGTTCTGCTTTTACCATTCGACATGGCGGCCCCAGTGTTTTGTCAGTGGCCTCATAATAGGCCACCAGATGGAGAGTTTTCACCCTCGAAACAGCGACCATTTGATGCACTTTAGATTGAATCTTTTAGGTTTTATTTTATACATATTTTATATTACGCATGAATGCAAACAGATTCTAAATTGTTTTATAATCTTAAATAAAACCATAATTCCCTTTGTAGCATTCTGAAATGTTACATGCAATGTTAACTCGTGAATGCAGAAAGATCAATCAATTACTGATATTCATTGCAGTCAAATGTTCTTACAAATCTGCCACTAACCCCAATCCCCACGGAAGAGCATCCCATTCCCATGGCGGAGAACGCCATATACCATATATTGTAGAGTCAGCTGGCTTTGTGGTCTGGAATCGCTGGCAATTAATGTGGGCTGCTGTTTTCCAGTCGACGAAGATCAACTGAAAAAAGAAGCTGCTTGCAGCAGCAGCATGTTTGCCATAGTTTTGCCATCTTCAGAGCCAGAGTCTGCTGGAGATCTTCCATGGCTAATGAAAAGCCAGAAAAGAGCAGCAGAGACTCGACTCACTCGCAGCTGAGATGAGTTGAGGAGGCAGAAACAAATCGGCACAATCACCGCTAGCGGGGATCCATCCAGCAGATGGGGAAGGAATACTGAAAAATACGAAAGAAAAAAAAAAATAAAGCAGTCTGAAGCGGTACATTGCTGGCCCGTTTCCCGTTTCCCGATTGCATTTTGCAGTTAACAGATGTGGCAAATGCCACAAGTCAATGTTGCATTGTGCCTGCTTTTGTGTTTGGCTTTTTTATAAGTCTCAAAGTTTACGTAAATGTCGCGTGTGTTGTGCCACAAAACAAACAAACAAACACACACAAAATGCTCTTAATGGGTTTTTTGAGGGGGGGTTTCAAAGCAAACAACAAAAATTTGTATCAGGCGTTCGCCTTTTATTTTGGTAAAAGGAAAAGTCAATTGTTTGGACGAGGCGTCGTCGTTTGTCTCTGCAAGTTGACGTGTGTAATTATCATAAATTGTAAAATTGCATTTTCATTCATGCTAAAAGTCGCACATTTTCAGTGCAAGAAAATGCTCTTTGCATTTCATATATCCCCACATTTCGCAATCCGCATTTTACATTTACATTTGCTTTCATTTTTTCCAGTTCACGCCTCAACCCCAACGGTTGATTGAACTTGTCAGAGATTTGGAATTTGAGTTGGAAAAACATGAAGCATGGTTCATGGCAGAGAAAGAAAGAGTTACCTGGGATTGTTTTGCTTTTATTTAGCTTTTGAAAGGCATTGCATTGTCTGCTGCCCCGCAGATACGGATACAGTGTTCTCCCGTGTCCCGTGTCTGTGATGGGGAGGGCCCCATTAGTGTCGTTCACGCTTTGGAAAACACAGTTTGGAAAACCATTACCATACGTTTTTAAATTTTTCGGGGGGCCTTCATAGAGATGAACACACAAGTAAGTACAAGTACGAGTGTTGAACAAATCACTGGCAAACATAGTTGGTCGAAATAATTTGACTACTTTCCTCACTCACTCGAATCCAATTGGGGCCCGTTGGCTGTTAATGATTGTGCCACACAAATGCCACAATCTGCCTGTCTGCCACTCCATACATAAATCATAAAAGTGAAGACTCAAGGCAGTCAAGCGATGCAGCCAGTTGACAAAAGGCAGAAGAAGGAAACCCGCGAGATGCAAATCGACGGACGGGGTGTCTGCTGCATCGATGTTTGTCGCTTCTCTCTGTCTCTCTCTTTGTGCTTGATTGCCTGTGGAGAATGTCAATGCAACATCAATGTGTGGATGGTGCAAGAGACAACTCCAGCTAGACAAGAAAATAAAGCAGGCGAATTGGAAAAGTAGAATATGGAATACTCTTTGAAGGCGGAACCCACAGAAACTCGTAGAAATTCTATTTAAAAATGTTAGTGGCGTCTAGGACTAGACTTCTGAGTTTCCAGTGAACCCTCTTCCAGGGATTCTCAGTAACGTCTAGCTAATTATAACCTACTTTCTACTTCAGAAGAACCCCCCACTCTTATGAACTGAGAACCTATTTATTGCAGGAATATACTGTATGGGAATATTATGGAATATCCACAAGTATTTAAAGAATAATCTTATTTAGGCAGCCATTGATATCATCTATCTGATTCATATACCATGAATTATTCATATACATATATTTGTGCATATAGATCACAATCTACACATTCAAAATCTACATATTTCACTGTAAGACTAAGACTCCCTAACTCTTAAACCTTAGATCCTCCTCCTCCTCCTCCTCTTGTGGTCACTCAACTGAAAGAAGATCTGAAAATCGTTTAAAGAACCCAAGTAAGCGACTCGTAAAAACTAGTGTGTCTGTCCACACATGGCTAATGGTAAGAATTAGCAAAAGACTAGAAAAGAATTTGCTTAGACCCTTTTGCCAACTGTTCCGTGTGGCCTTTTGTGGCCCGCAGCCAAGTTCCAAGTTCCGTTGGCTTAACGTTGGGCCCAGACCCAACACCAGACTCAGACCTGGCTCGAACCGTGGTGGCAGGCGACAGTAAACCGCAACAAAATGCGCTGCGCTTTCTGCTTTTCTTCATTTCTCACTCTCGGCCTGCGAGTGGCAGAGGCTGCCGACAATATAACTGATAATTTTCATTCATGTTCCAGTACCAAAGTCACAGCCGATTTCTGAGTCACAGTCACAGTCACCGCACTTCCCACCTGTTCGGCCGAGCTGCCTCTGCTGCTCTGCTGCTCTGTTGCTGGCCTGGCCATAAACTTGGAGTGCCGCATTTTGCGTCGACCAGTCTGCATTTGGCTTTCTGCCTAACAAGTCGTGCAGCCACATCTTAAAGATCTACTGACATCTACGGGTTTTCGCGTTTGATCAGAGCTCTGAACCGGGTAAAAGGCTCTCCACGCGAGTGAGTGCCATCGCTCTCAGATCGGCCAAAGGCCTTCGGACTAAGCTCAGGAAAATCAAATCGAATGGGATTTTCGTTTGCCGTCAGTTCGTTTTGTAAAATTGATGGATTCTAAATTTTCAAAGTCAGATAAAATAAATAAATTTGTATTCTGTGTCGTGTAGTGCCTTGTGAAATTTCTATTGATCGCTTTCGATCGGTCGATAGATCGATGTGTGTGTCTCGCGACATTCGCTTTTCAAAAGGATTTCACTTTGTGCTCTCCGGCAAGAGTGCCGGCAATCGGAATTGCTATCAATTTGAAAACCAAAACTAGTTCAAGGCTGCCTTCACTTGCCGCCGAGCAACATATTCGGTCCGCAAGCTTCTTCTCTGAGTCTTCGGCCTGTCCAAAATGGAGCTATCGCTGTCACCAAAAGAAACGGTAATTACAGGCTTTTCATTATGCATACAACAGTCCAGTCCAGTCTCTCTCTCTCTCTCTCTCTCTCTCGTTCTCTCTCTATCCATTCCATCACTCTTTTACATTTTCCTGCATCTTTCACTGCGCCGTGGGTTTGCTTTAGCCAGTTTTCCATTTTCCAGCTGATAATTACGAGCTGACAATTATTTGTTTGACCATTACCATAATTTTGGTTCCCGATTATGATGATCATATCTTTGGAGATCTATAGTATAGATTAGAGAACAGGAATTAAATGATGATATCTGTATTTTATGGGGAAATTATTGTATTATTGATCTTTGATTGAGTTTTCACTTTTATCTTTATATTTTGCTGTAGATTTTTAACAATGAGCAAGGACCTTAAAAACTGAATAGATAAGGAACAGGAAATATTATTTATACTTTGAGTAATTCGTTATTTATTATGTCTCCGTCTGATATATCTATTCTTAATTTAATTTCCATAGTTTTATGTCACTTTTCTGCGAGTTAAAAATAATTTTTTCATTATTAATCGTAGACATTTGTAATTCCTTTAATAATTATAAAAACTATTAAAATTCATCAGTTTTTAACATTTTTAAAGAATCTAGAAGATTAAATCTTTATTTTAACCAATTTTAGGGTTCAATTCTCCAAATAATAACTTAAAGACTTAAACTAAAATTTAAAATGTTCCATAATTAAAGCCAACATTCATGCTCGTCAAGCTTCACTTCAGAGATCTATGAGAATCTATATATACATATTTTTTTTTGGCATTCTGCTGAGAACTCTTCTTGCACGCGGGGCATCAATTAAACTTTCATGGCTTTCGATGTAGATGTCGCTAATTGATGGCTGTGAAAGTCTCTCTTTGGGGGCAATGCCTTTAAAAAAACAAAAGCAACAAAAAATATACCTATAATTTCGTATATGTATCTTGAAGAAAGAGATTTCGTTTGTACCAGTTTTTGTGGTTGTGGTGCCATGACAAATGTAGTTTAGCTGTCAACACACGATGAAGATCGATCAATCTTGATGATGATCGTTTGGAAAACCTGGTTAACCCAGCCAGAGCCACAGACACAGACACAGCCCCCACCCAAAGCAATCCATCCAAGTTATTTTCCCATTTGCAGACAATAATTAAAATGTTTCCATGCTGCACATTTTATACATTGCTTATTTATGAGAAGAAAATAAAAAAGATGCTTGGGCCGAATTAATTAATGCCCTTGCAAGATCGAATAATTCCGTAGAAATGTTTAAGCCACATAAATACACATTTAATGGATTGGTTTGCTTGGAAGAAGATTCTACAGTTCGAAACTACTTCCTTCTCTTAGCTCTCCAAATCCGAATACCCTCCCCAAAGAGTATAACACAAACAAAAGGTAACAATTATGTTTGTGATTTCCATGAAATGTCGCCCTGTCGCGGGAGAATTCAGTGCCAGGCGGAGCATGAACTTGTTTTTGGTCTCTGAACACGAGAGCTGTAATCAAATGATTATGGCTTAGAGATGTACCCACAAATGGAATGGGTGGTTCATAGTCAAAGCATTAATTAGTCAACGGCCACCTAATGACCCCCAAACCGTTAACCAAGATCGAGATGAAAATGCAGACGCCCCAAAACATTCAACATTCAGCATTCAACCACTTTCCACTTAACTGCGTTCCATAAATATACAGAAAAAAAATTAATGTTCGAAATAAAAACTGGCCTGAAACTCGCACCACAGATGCCGACCGCCGCCGCGCACCACACACAGCATTGTGGTTCAGTTTTCACTATCACTTGGCCACCAGCCTCTCGTTGAAGGAGAGGCAATCGGACACAATCTATGCCAGGCCCAGCCGCCAGATGCAGAGCACTTCCCCAAGACCTGTCCAAGTGGGTTGCTGTCGGGTTTTCTTTTCTTTTTGTGTGCTGTGCTGTGGTATGGCGTGGTGTGCTGTGGTGGTGTGTGTAGATCCTTGGCGCCTGTTTTGAGTATTTTTCGAAAATTGTCTCATGTCAGTGACAATTGGAGGCAATTTGAAAGGTGTTTTAATGTCGATAAAAAATGCTGTTCGATTTGCCCGTTATCCCAGGCATTGTCCGGTGAAAATATAGAATGGTAATTGCAGATGAAATTTCATCAAATCAAAACCTGCTTACATCGAAGAGAGTCGTCGAGTTGAGCTACGTGTTTGCGGATTGAACTTCAAACTAAAGCAAGAAATAAGAGAAGTTTCTTTCAATGAAGCAGTGGGAAGAGTTCTGTGTTCTAGCACGTCTTCATATATGGTCTTTATATAATAATTTGTGAGTCACTTATGAGTGCTCTTTACTATAATTATACCCGTACTCAAAAAGAGTTAAGGGGCATATTAGATTTGTGGTAAAAGTGGATGTGTGTAACGCAGAAAAGGAAACGTTTCCGACCCCATAAAGTATACATATATATTCAATAGCCGAGTCGATATAGCCATGTCTGTCTGTCCGTCCGTCCGTCTGGTTGAGCGCCTGGATCTCAGATACTATAAGAGCTGGGGCAACCAAATTTGGTTTCCAGACTCATGTGATATCACACTGCTACAAATGTATTTCATAAGTGTAATTTATTTCTAAATTTTTAAAAAATCATATGCTCAAAAATGTATATACTGACTGAGTACGGGTATAAGTAGAGTCGCGTCCTCTGAAGCGACACACACGTTCCATCTCGTTCACTTTTAAATCGAATTCATAATTATTTGTAGCAATCCCTCTGCTCTCCTGTTAACCATTTACTAACGAAAGAACCCCCTCTCTTAATTAATTTCAGGAGGTGCGTCCTAATACCATACCGGATCCAAAAGTAGATGCTACCTTCCGTAGGGTGGCCAAAAATGCAATTACCTTTTCCTTGTGGAAAATCGATGAGGATCGCCTGGAGGCCGTGGCCCGTGCACAGTATGGAACCTTCTACGACAACAGCGCCTACATAATATATGCAGCCAATCTGGTGGGGCACTATGCCAATCACGAGACCATCGTAGGTAGACCCAAATATCCCACATGCATGGTATATCTCATTTGGATTCCCATTTTAGACACGCGAACAGAAGCCCAATGTGCTGCTGGAACGATATATACACTATTGGCTGGGCAGAAATGTCAGCGAAACGAATCGCTCCAATGTGATGCACAAGATTCAGGAGCTGGACTCGTATCTGGGCAATGTGGGGGCCATCTATCGCGAGACACAGAACCATGAGAGTCCGCGTTTCTTGTCATATTTCAAGAAGGGATATGAGTAAGCTCATTTATTATCGAAAATCCAAGTCATAATGATTTCTAATCGCAAATCTCTTTTAGTATTCTTTCGGGAGCGTTGATCAGCTCTCCACAGCGGCCACGCCTGTATCAGTTGCGTGCTCGGAAATGGCTGCGTTCCATAGAGTTGGACACCATCGAGTGGTCGCACTTCAACTCGGACTACATCATGGTTCTGCAGACAGAGACCACGACATTCGTGTGGATCGGACGCTCCAGTTCGGGCATCGAGCGTCGCGGCGCCTTGTCCTGGGTGCAGGGGCAGACCAGCGGCTGTCCCGTTGTCATTGTGGATGATGGCTACGAGCAGGCCATGACAGCACCACAGAAGGAGCTGTGGAACACACTGCTGCCGCTGCAGAAGCGAATGGTCTGCCAGGCCAGTCAGCTGGTCACCGACTACACGGACTACAGCAGCAACAAATTCCGCATCTACAAGTGCAATCTGCGTGGACGCTTGCATCTGGATCAGCTCGATGTGGGCCTGCCGGCCAAGGATGATCTGAGCGATGCCCATGGGGTCTATCTATTGGATAACTATGGCCAAAGCATTTGGCTCTGGGTGGGTGCCCAGGCCCCGCAGGCAGAAGCCCTCTCAGCCATGGGCAATGGCCGTGCCTTTGTCAAGAAGAAGTCATATCCGGACAATACTTTGGTGGTCCGCGTCGTGGAGGGCCATGAGCCGGTCGAGTTTAAGCGTCTGTTTTCCAACTGGTTGAACTTGGGGCAGGAGAACACACGCGGCCACAAGCCCGTGTCCACAAAGTTCGGCAAACTGGATGCCCATTCGCTGTGCGAGCGTCCCAAGATGGCAGCGGACACACAGCTGGTGGACGATGGCAGGGGAGAGCGTGTGGTGTATCGCGTGTTGGGAGATCAGGTGCAGGAGCTGCCTGCCTCAAAGACGGTGGTCTTCACCACCAATGCCAGTTATGTGGTCAAGTACAGTGTGCAGGTAAATATCCATTCCAAAATCAATCCAAATCCAAAAATCAGCCTTGAAACTAAGAGATTTATTTCCCGTCTGCAGTGCGCAACTGTTGTGCCCGCAGATCTGGCCTCGGTGGGCATACAGAGCATAATCTATCAGTGGAACGGCTCGGAGGCATCGGCCGAATCCATTGCCACAGCGAATAAAATTGCCATGGTCGCATTTGAGTCGCTCAAGCAACCCGGAATGCTGGTCCAACTCTACGAGTTCGATGAGCCACCGCATTTCCTGCAGATCTTCGATGGCAAGCTCATCATCATGCGGGGACAGCGCAGCGAGATGCTGTACTGCAACAACAACAACAACGGGGACCTCAAGACGAACGTGATGCTGGAGACATTCCTGCTGAAGGTCTACGGAGACGCCAGCTACAATTCCAAGGCAGTGGAGGAGCATCCGCTGTCCTCGATCACCTCCAAAGATTGCTACGTGATCAAGACGAGTCATGTGTGGGTCTGGTGTGGCCAGAGCAGCACTGGGGATGCGCGCGAGATGGCCAAGTCGGTGGGTGCTCTCATGGGCGAGTACACGCTCATACTCGAGGGCAAGGAGAGCAAAGAGTTCTGGCAATCGGTGGCCATGTACTTTAACCAGGCGCTGGTCATCAATGGCCATGCCAATTCCTGCGGCAGCAGCACCACCAGCAGCAGCAGTGGCGCCGGCAGCATGTGCAACGGCAGCTCCAACGGTGGCAATGTCTCACCCACACTGAGCAACAATTGCTATCTCAACACGTGCGTGCCGTCAAAGCCGAGACCGCCGGTGCAGCTGTTCCTGGTCTGGTGGCAGCAGAGCTCCTTGCGCTACGAGGAGATCATTGGCTTTGAGCAGCAGGATCTCAGTGCGGATTGCACCTACATACTGGACACTGGCACCCTCACGTATGTCTGGCTGGGTGCCCAGGCGCAGCAGCAAGAAAAATACACATCCATTGCCCAGTGCTATGTCCAGAATGCTCCATTCGGACGTCGCTCGGCCACAGCCTTGGCCGTGGTGCGGCAGTATCAGGAGCCAAATGTGTTTAAGGGCTTCTTCGAATCCTGGCACAATAACCACGGAAAGGTAAGCCCTTCAGAAGTACCTCAACTACAACCTGAAAATAAAATCTGTTTTCGTTTCAGAATTTCCTGTCCTACGAGCAAATGCGCAAGGAATTGGGTAGCAGCGCAGCTCCCAGTAATATTAGCGCGGTCAATGGCGCTTCTCCGCTCATTTTGAACGACAGACAGAAGGATTTCGATGGGCATAAAAAGTATCCATTGCCGGTGCTGACTCAGGAGATGGATATGCTGCCAGCCGAGATCGATCCGCTCAAGCGAGAGGTCTGTTCGAGTACCCAAATCCATGAGAGACATTCGCATTGAAACTTTTCTTTTCCTTCCTCCAGGTGCACCTCACTCACGATGATTTTGTTTCTGTTTTCAAAATGTCTTTCTACGATTTCGATGTGCTGCCCAAATGGAAGAAGACCGAGCTGAAAAAGCAGTACAGATTATTTTAAACCAACGTGCCGATCCGACCGATTGGGCACTGTACATAGTCCACATGAAAATCCATTAATTGTAGAACATATTTGAAGCAATTTATGTTACATACTATACACACTCTACGTAGAATACAATACAGAAAACTCTTTGAATTTCACAAGAACTCGAAATATGAATCGAATCAATTGAATTGCTACAGGCCATCAGGTGGTTTCCACCTCTCCGGAATCCGGCTCATCACCGCTGTCTGAACCTGTTCAACGGAGAATTGCATCAATTCACAGATCGCAAAAGTTCCACATATCAAAAGGGTTCACAACTTACTGGGAAACAAAAGCCCGAAAATGAACTCGAAAATTCCACCAAGTAGATCCCAAAACATTTTCGATCTGGTGTGCTCAACGTTTTGTAACTAAGTACAATGACATTACGGATCGGAAACGGTTTTGATTTTGATTTCATGTGGGGCCCAGACCCAACTCATTTAATGAGCCGCGACCAAAAACGGAAGAGTAATTCGGGCCTAATTCGTGGCCAAAGCGATTGTATGATCTAGGTCAATCATGGCCACAAAAATAATATGTATTTTGTGCCTATTGAAAAGCATTTAAGTGGTCATATCAAATTTATTTGTTTGCTTTCATCATGATCTTCAGATTATTTCAATTTTGGTCGTAATAGTAGTCACCAAAGTACTCCGCGTCCGCTTTAAGGAACAGGGAGCATTAATTATGTGCAACTATACGAAGAGATTCTAAACAAATTACTCACTTATATCGGAGAAGAATAAATCGTTGAGGAAAGCCAGAAATACTTCAATAAGCTCGCAGCAATCCATGGTTTATGATATATAACTCTGGATACTGGCGAGATTTTTGTATTTATAGCAGATGAATGTTGAAGGTTAATGACCATTATTCGGAGTAATTTAATTAATGTTATAATATTCATTATAGGATATTATTGTGGGACATTTGTATAATGATTTCTGTCGCACTAAGTGCTATTAGAGTCGTACGAGTCGTAATCGTCATCGTTGCCATCAGCTGGAAATTCAGAAATGTTTTTTTTAGTTTACTTTATATCAGGAAAAATAAATTTAAAGCTTTGCTTTTATATTCATGGTATGTATGTATGTATATTACTTATCAAGTTCCTCTTCTCCAATATCCTCCAACTTACAACCGAATAGAACGTCCCCAATGAACTCCAATATCATTCCAATTATTTCACAATCCTCCATCACTATTGCTTTATGGTAAACCAACATTCACTAAACCCTAGAGCCCTCAACAAAGGTTTTATATACCTAAAATTTGGTCATGAATTGCCTCATAGTATGCACCATAATCGTATTTCTGTTTTGAACTTGGTACATTTCCATGGCTAATCGTACATATTTCATTTAATCGCAATCCATTTCGCTATAAATACCATTCTGTTGGTTCAGCCTGATACACCAAACGTTTAAACTTTAAAGCTTAAAACATAGTTTTATTTAAAACAAAAAACAAAACAATCTATTACAGGCATTTCAGTATACGTCATAGCCGTACATGGGTCCCTCCATGTAGGCCTTCTGTTGGTCCGTGGAATTGCGCCGAATTCTTCTGCCAATGGGCTCTAGATCCGCATAGCACTTGGGGAAGACTCGCTCCACAGCCGCAATGGCATCTGATTTGCTTATGTTCCGCACAGCCAGCACTGAGGCCAAGGCCTTGGTCTTGACGCAGTTCTAGATAAACCAATAGATCAGAATGAAACGATTTTCCATACGAATTTACAGTGCAATTGATTCACCCACCTGATGCGCCTCTTTCACGTTAAAGGGCGAGGCATCGCCCTGGAACATGGCACTCAAAAAAGAGCAATGCGCCAGGTTGGCCGCTCGGATCTCCGTACAAGCCAGATGGTCTACATTTCGAAAGTCCAGTTCGTTGTTGCAGTAGTCGAACATGTGTATCATTTCATGCGTAAGCACACCGTGCACCATGCTCTTGTTCCTGGCCATATTCTGGCAGACGACAATCTGATTCAACTTGGGATCGTAGCCACCAGTCACCGAGGGATCACACACCTCGCAGGAGATGTGCCGACGCAGGTCGATGGGACACCCGGAGCTCTTCAGGGCGCCCATCATTAGTTTGACCAGTGGACCGTTCTTCACACACCAGTAGACATTCTGTTCGCACTTGTAGCGATCAATGCTCTCTTGCCCCTCCAGACCGAAGAGGATGCGTGTCCACTTGGGCTTGAAGGTTACGCCGCGTCGCTCCGGATACAGATCATAACCCCAATCCTTACTCTCATTGCTGGGCGGCTGGTCGTTGGACGGAGAGTCTTGAACATGCTGGGAATCGGCTGCAACGACGGGTGGAGGGGGTTTCTTTTCCTTTCTGTCAGTGGGCGTCGTTACAATATCTGTAGGAGTAGGCGCTTCTTTAGCCCACACTTTAGTCAGGAAATCCATATTTAATGGATATCTAAATCTCCAATTTGGTTGAATAACAAACCGGCAGCTGTTTCGGTCAGTGATGCCAGACCGCTTAAATGGAGGGGAATCGTGTTTTTTATTTTATTTTATTTTATCGATAAGTCAGATTTGGAGATGGGAGCAACTCCGTGGCGACTCCGGATTGGTCGGAGTTTCTAAAACTTTCCCATCTCGATTAAGAAGACCGACATAACCTTAAAATGAAATGGAAACAAAGTGGTCCAAATTACACAAATATGCACCGTGCAATAAGCCAGCAGCTAGCGATATTGGCAGCGATACTAGCCTTAGTGGTTCGGTGTGCAGCCACCGATGTTCCACGTCCCCGCGGCGTGTCTCTCATAAAGGCAGCGCTCTATCAGCCCCGAGCTGCCGACAATAGCTGGGTTTGCTTAGATGGCAGCAAAACGATTCCATTTGTGCAGATAAACGATGACTACTGCGACTGCCCCGACGGGAGCGATGAGCCCGGCACATCCGCCTGCGCGCAGGGCCAATTTCACTGCCAAAACAAAGGCCACGAATCGGTGGACATTCCCAGCTCGCGTGTCCAGGATGGCGTCTGTGACTGCTGCGACGGCAGCGATGAGTCAGAGGTGGTGAGGTGTGCAAACACCTGTGCAGCGTTGGGCGCTGCAGCTGCCATCCAGCGCAAGAATCAAGCAGAGCTGCACAGGCAGGGTGCCGAGAAGCGGCTGGAGATGATTGCCCGGGGTAGACAGCTGAGAGCAGACAGAGAAACCCGCCGACAGGAGCTGGAGCGACGCATTAAGGATCAGGAGGCTCTGAAATCGGAGAAACAGCAGATTAAGACCAACGCCGAGGCCTTGGAAAGCGATGCTCTGGAGGTGTTCAAGGAGCAACAACGGGAGCTGGATGCCGATACCGTCCAGGCCGAGGAGGAGCCCCAGCAAATGCGCCAGGAAGCCTCGCTCAGCTTTGCGGTGTACGACATCAACAAGGATGGCTTCGTGGAGGTCACTGAGCTGATGGTGGACGTCAATCTCGACCGCGACCGTAACGGCGTGGTCACCGTGGAGGAGGCCAAGTACTTCTTGGACGAGCGAGAGCGTGTGGATCTAGATGCATTCGTCACCCTGGCCTGGCCACGCATCAAGCCCTTGAAAATGCTGGCCGAGGGTCTGTTCCAGCCCCCACATGCGGATGCGCAGGTTCCTCCAGTCGGAGAAGTGCCAGTTGAGGCGACCACTGAAGGAATCCAGCCATCCCATCCACAGCCCACCGAGGGTAAGAAGATTTCCACTTGAAAACTGTCGCCATGTCGTTGTGGATTTTTGTCTAATTAGAATTACGTTTGCAGAACAAGTCGACATGGAAGCTAGCACGGATGGTGACGCTGACGAAGAAGGCGACGAAGATCAGTACGAAGACGAGGAGGGAGATGTGGGTGTGGGCGAAGCCTTGCCCGAAGTGGAAGCTCCTGCACCGCCCGTCTACGACCCAGAGACGCAGCGTCTCGTCGAGCAGGCCAACGAGGCGCGCAATGCTCTGGAAGAGGTGGAGCGCAACATACGCGAGATCGAACAGGAAGTCAAGGAAATCGATGAGCAGAGTGCCAAGGACTATGGCCCGCACGAAGAATGGGCAGTGCTGGACGGCGAATGCTACAACTTTGAGGATCGTGAATACGTCTACACTCTGTGTCCGTTCGACAGGGCCTCGCAGAAGCCGCGTAACGGTGGAGCCGAGACCACCCTCGGTCGCTGGGAACAATGGATTGGCGAGGGATACAAGTACTCAAAGCAGAAGTACGGCAATGGAGCCGCCTGCTGGAACGGCCCCCAGCGGTCGGCCACTATCATCATTAGCTGCGCCCTGGAGCCACGTATCACTTCTGTGGGCGAGCCCAATCGCTGCGAGTACTACTTTGAGTTTGAGACCCCCGCCGCCTGCGATAGCGAAGCTCAACAGGCGGAGAGTGTCCACGACGAGCTCTGAGAATACGATGAAACGGTAATGTGTGCATAGCCCGAAGAGATCCGCATAATAAGGAGGATTGTATTTAAGTTGTAGAGAGTGGATTTTGAAATATCATATTTGTCGCGAACATTCCCATGCTGACAGGAGCGAGGGCGGCCGGGCGCGGGCGAACATCATTAAGGAATATAGTGAAATCATTCAGTCTATGCATTTAAGCAAAACCTAAGAAAAAAACATGTTTCAATTTGAATAAAGTGTAAACAGTTAGTATTTTTTAAAAATATAAAGTTATATAGTAAATGGTTTGGTATCTATGTATGTGTATGTATGTCTATGACTCGGTAACGGCCTGTTTGATGTCCTCCAGATAGCCGTCCACCTGATGCTCGAGGGCGAGAATGTGCCCCGTATTGCAGTTTTCCGCCCCCACAAAGGTCAGTATCAATGGCAGCTTGTTCATTTGGACCACTTGATAGTTGGAATACATCGATATGATGGTCTTGTTGCGACCCAAGCCCAGCTTGCTGGCCTGATCGCACGCCGTCGTGAATGTGGGTATAAACGAAGGCATCAGGGCGAAATCTACATTCTTCTCCTGACTCACACGGAGGAGGGGAACGCCATCACGATCCGTTATCTGTATGACGTGTAGGCCGCTGACCCTACAGAAACGAGAGAAGAGGAAAGGCGGAATATGTAATTTCAGCAATAATACATTACTTCGGCGGTACATACTTCTTTAGCAGCCCATTGAAATACTTCTTAATGTCGTCCGACATGGATAATGAGCAAAATGGCGACGACAATGACTTAAAAACGGATTAACTTCACTTTTTTTCCAACATTCACAGCTATTTACACAAAACAAACCAAGAAACAGCTGATCCAACTATCGATATAAATTAAATATTTCAGTATCGCTGCGTGGAAAAATAGTTTTTATTTAATTTTCTTAAATTATAGCACTTAAAAACTGCATAAAGTAGTCATTTAGTATACCCTTAGCTTAGGGCAACTTGCACTATGGTGACAGGCGATCCTGGGGCCACGAAGCCCACATCTTCAGCCGGTTCAGATGATGACGACTACACATCAGCCATGTCCCACCTCACCATCGGCCAACAAATACAAGAGCTGTCGAAGCGGCTGCAAAACACCACGGAGGAGCTGCATCAGCAAGTGCGGGACAAGCATGGAGCGCTGCTACAGCAGGCCACCCATGCAGGGCGTTTTGATGCCGCTCTCAACACGCTAGCGGAGGAAGTGCAGCGCGTACGGGAGACCGGACATCGCCTCAAGAACCAAGTGGACACGCAATACCAACTGGTGGAGAACCAAACTCAAGTGCTGGGTCGCCTTCATGATGTCAGCCATTTGCTGCGCTCGGCCGGAACGCTTCTTGCCCTGACGGCCAAATTGAAGGGCACCAAAGATGTGCTTCGTCAGGCGGAGCTCCATTTCGAGCTGGCGCAGTTAATAGATGACAAGGACCTGAAGGACATTGAGTTTGTACAAAAGGAGCGTGCGTTTGTGATCAGCTCGGGCCAGAAAATTCGGAATCTAACTCAGATGCAGCTGGTCACTGGCCTCCAGGAGCGCAATCAAAATCAAGTGGTTAATGCATTGAAGGTGGGCATTAGAACAGTGGGTGGACCTGCAGATAATCATTATTGCATTTCAGATCTTCATGAACTTCAACACACTGGATAAATCCCTTGACAACCTGTTGGCCACGTTCATAGCCGACATGGAGCAATCCCTCAAAGAGTGTTTTGCCGGCAACGACATTTCGGTGCTGAACAAATCGCCCACGCATGGTAGTGGCAGCTCCACGAGTAAGCCGGCTGCAGCCCGTGGCCCGGGTAAGACGCCACAGTTGACCACAACGCAAAATTACCGAGCAAAGTTCTGGAAATCTTTGCACTGGCTGTTGTACGACGAGCTCTATGAAAGTTGC